TAGAGGTGGGGAGCGCATGAAGAGGTGGAGGAGGATGAGAGACAAATTTGTCTGTGTTAAAAAGTCTTATACAAAAAAACACAATATAAAGACATTATCTTGGACCGATACATGACAGGATACCACAGAACAGCGCTACGCCCTCTGTTGTCCTGCCGGGGAATTGCTTTGCAACACTCTCCAGGAGACGGAGAAGTATGAGAGCAAAACGCTTCCATCAATCCGTGCGTGTCTGTCCCTTGCGGAGCTGACGGAGAAGCATGAACCAGGCTTAATGAACATATGAGTATATTCTAGTATGTCGTCTGATGACTAAAGTCCAGAAGGGTCAGAGTTATCTCAACGATCCCATCGACAGCAGCAACTTTTAGCACAACTAAAAACAAAAACACATCAAGAAACAGACCAAGTCTTCAACCAGCCCAATGTGCTGGATGGGAAGAGAGCTCGCCATACTTATAACAGCATTTCCTAACCTTGTTGTTGATTTTCTGCATGAAAAATATAAAATATTTATCTATTACCATTTTACTGTGAAGTCACCTAAATCAAACCAATAAAAGGTTATAAACTTGGCTGTTTTGATTAGTTTCCAGTCTTTCTGCCACCCATCATGGTGAAGGGGTGGTCCCATGAGCTGTGTGATGTCACGTGCTAAGGGTTAGATATGCACTCCAGCTGTGCAGCAGCACATTCCCACTGCTCTGCCCATTCCTCATCCTGTAGGGAGCTCAGTTTAGCACTGTGAGTCCACACAATCATTGTGTTGAACACTTACATAAATACAATACAAGGAGGCACAGTGTTAACCAAGGGGGGAATTTGTTAGCCTGGCCTGCCAGACTCTTCCTCTGTTTAATTCAGCACAGAGAATTCTCTGTGCATAATTAAACAATTTGGTTTTACTTTTGTGATTTTTGTATTATTGTGTTCTCTTTTCCTATTTAAAAAAATAACCCTAAAAATAGACACATAAATAAAAAGAAATACGTAATTTTATTGTGTTTCCAGTTGAATATATAGAGTAAAAAAACTTTGGAGTGACACCACAATTGCCGTTGCTTTTAATTTAGAAAAAAATTGACAAGACATTTTTTTTACCAAGTAACTATTGTAACTTTAAAAAAGTAGTTCCCCCTCCTCATTTTCCTCCTTGTCCTTAGCATTAATGCCACCAATTGGACAAAAACAAAGATTAAGAATTTATTTGTCAGCTTCATTTAGCTCCTCCTTGAACCGTCACCTTATCGTGGTGGAGGAGTTTGAGTGCCCTAATGATCCTAGGAGCTATGTTGTCTGGGGCACTTAGTGCCCCTGGTAGGGTCTCCCATGACAAATTGGTCTTAGGTGAAGGGTGAGACAAAGAACGGTTCGAAGGATCTTTCATGGCGGTGAAAACGAAGAGTCGGAGTACCCGGCCCGGAGGGTTACCGGGGTCCCACCCTGGAGCCAGGCCTGGGGTTGGGGCCCGTGAGCGAGCGCCTGGTGGCCGGGCTTTCGCCCATGGGGCCCGGCCGGGCCCAGCCCGAACCGGATACATGGGCTCGTCCAACTGTGGACCCACCACCCGCAGGAGGAACATGAAGGGTCCGGTGCAATGTGAATCGGGTGGCAGACCAAGGCGGGAGCCTTGGCGGTCCAATCCCCGGACAAGGAAACTAGTTTTTGGGACATGGAACGTCACCTCGCTGGCGGGGAAGGAGCCGGAGCTTGTGGCAGAGGTTGAGCGGTACCGGCTAGATATAGTCGGACTCACCTCGACACATTGCATTGGCTCTGGAACCCGAGACCTGGAGAGGGGTTGGACACTCTACTTTGCTGGAGTTGCTCCGGGTGAGAGGCGGAGGGCTGGGGTTGGCTTTTTGTTAGCCCCGAGACTCTCTGCCTGTGTGTTGGGGTTTACCCCGGGGGACAAGAGGGTAGCTTCCTTGCGCCTTCGGGTCGGGGAACGGGTCCTGACTGTTGTTTGTGCTTATGGGCCAAATATCAGTTCAGAGTACCCACCCTTTTTGGAGTCCCTGGGACGAGTGCTAGATAGTGCTCCATCAGGGGACTCCATTGTCCTGCTGGGGGACTTCAATGCTCACGTGGGCAATGACAGCTTGACCTGGAGGGGTGTGATTGGGAGGAACGGCCCACCTGATCAGAACTCGAGCGGTGTTTTGTTATTGGACTTCTGTGCAAGCCGCAGTTTGGCCATAACGAACACCATGTTCGAACATAAGGATGCCCACCGGTACACTTGGTACCAGGGCAGCCTAGGTCACAGGTCGATGATAGATTTTGTAGTCGTATCATCTGACCTGCGACCGTATGTTTTGGACACCCGAGTGAAGAGAGGGGCGGAGCTGTCAACTGATCACCACCTGGTGGTGAGTTGGATCAGATGGCAAGGGAACATGCCGCGTAGACCTGGCAGACCCAAACGCATAGTGAGGGTCTGCTGGGAACGCCTGGCAGAAGAACCTGTCAAGACGGTCTTCAACTCCCACCTCCGGCAGAGCTTTGACCACGTCCCGAGAGCAGTGGGGGACATTGAGTCCGAGTGGGCCTTGTTCCACTCTGCGATTGTCGAGGCGGCTGTTGCTAGCTGTGGCCGTAAGGTGGCCGGTGCCAGTCGTGGTGGCAACCCCCGTACCCGCTGGTGGACACCAGAGGTTCGGGGAGCCGTCAGGCTGAAGAAGGAGGCCTACAGGGCGTGGCTGGTCTGTGGGTCTCCGGAGGCAGCAGACAGGTACCGGATAGCCAAGCGGGGTGCAGCAGTGGCAGTTGCCGAGGCAAAATCTCGGGCGTGGGAGGAGTTTGGTGAGGCCATGGAGAAAGACTATCGATCGGCTCCAAAGAGGTTCTGGCAAACTGTCCGGCGCCTCAGGAGAGGAAGGCAGCAACTCGCTCACACTGTTTACAGTGGGGATGGGGAGCTGCTGACGTCAACTGAGGCTATAGTCGGACGGTGGAAGGAATACTTTGAGGAGCTCCTCAATCCCACCAATGCGCATTCCGAGGAGGAACCAGAGCTGGGAGGCCTGGGGATGGACTGTCCGATCTCGGGGGCAGAAGTTGCTGAGGTAGTCAAACAACTACACAGCGGCGGAGCCCCGGGGGCGGATGAGGTTCGTCCTGGGTATCTCAAGGCTATGGATGTTGTAGGACTGTCATGGTTGACACGTCTCTACAACATTGCGTGGTCATCGGGGGCAGTTCCTAGGGAGTGGCAGACCGGGGTGGTGGTCCCCATCTTTAAGAAGGGTGACCTGAGGGTGTGTTCCAACTATAGGGGGATCACACTCCTCAGCCTCCCTGGAAAGGTCTACTCCAAGGTACTGGAGAAGAGGGTCCGATCGATAGTTGAATCTCAGATAGAGGAGGAGCAATGTGGTTTTCGTCCTGGCCGTGGAACTGTGGACCAGCTCTATACCCTTGCAAGGGTGATGGAGGGGGCATGGGAGTTTGCCCAACCAATCCACATGTGCTTTGTGGATTTGGAGAAGGCTTATGACCGTGTCCCCAGGGGCACCCTGTGGGGGACGCTCCAGGAGTATGGGGTGGGTGGCTTTCTGTTAAGGGCCATTCAGTCCCTTTACCAGAGGAGCGTGAGTTTGGTCCGCATAGCCGGTAGTAAGTCGGACCTGTTCCCAGTGAGGGTTGGACTCCGCCAGGGCTGCCCTTTGTCACCGTTTCTGTTCATCACTTTTATGGACAGAATTTCTAGACGCAGCCGTGGTGTGGAGTGTGTCGAGTTTGGTGGCAGGAGAATCTCGTCTCTGCTTTTTGCGGATGATGTGGTCCTCCTAGCTTCATCCAGCTCTGACCTTCAGCTCTTGCTGGGTAGGTTCGCGGCCGAATGTGAAGCGGCTGGGATGAGGATCAGCACCTCCAAATCTGAGACCATGGTTCTCGACCGGAAAAGGGTGGCTTGCCACCTCCGGGTCGGGGGAGAGGTCCTACCTCAAGTGGAGGAGTTTAAGTATCTCGGGGTCTTGTTCACGAGTGAGGGTAGGAGGGATCGGGAGATCGACAGGCGGATTGGTTCGGCGTCTGCAGTGATGCGGACGCTGAGCCGATCTGTCGTGGGGAAGAGGGAGCTGAGCCAGAAAGCCAGGCTCTCGATTTACCGGTCGATCTACGTCCCAATCCTCACCTATGGTCATGAGCTTTGGGTAATGACCGAAAGAACGAGATCGCGGATACAAGCGGCCGAAATGAGTTTCCTCCGTAGGGTGGCCGGGCTCAGCCTTAGAGATAGGGTGAGGAGCTCGGACATTCGGGAGGGACTCGGAGTAGAACCGCTGCTCCTCCGGATCGAAAGGAGCCAGTTGAGGTGGTTTGGGCATCTGGTCAGGATGCCTCCTGGACGCCTCCCTGGGGAGGTGTTTCGGGCATGTCCTGCCAGCAGAAGGCCCCCGGGTCGACCCAGGACACGTTGGAGAAGTTACATCTCCAATCTGGTCCGGGAACGCCTTGGGGTCCTGCCGGAGGAGCTGGTGGACAAGGCCGGGGAGAGGACGGCCTGGAGCTCCCTAGTTGGGATGCTGCCCCCGCGACCCGGACCCGGATAAGCGGAGGAAGACGAGACGAGACGAGACGAGACGAGCTTCATTTAGATAAGGAGGCTAAAATATTTTCTTTTATACGAACGATTGTACAGTTCCATCTCCCCTAGAAGATAATGGGAGATGTGGAATTAGCGTCATCTAGTGGCGATATGGTAGAACTACTTTTACATACACTAGTATTGAATGGTTTACCCTGTAGTTCCAGCTTGTGACCGCTGGAGGGCGGAAATACTCCCCCTCATTTTTGTAAAGTCAATTAAAACTCTGTAGCACTGTAGCTGGGGCAGTGTTTACAGCAGCGACGTCTAACTCAGAGAGATTCGCTTTTTCCAGCGTGAGAAATTGGAGGTGTGGTGTGAGAAGATGTGAAAGCAGATTCTTTGTGTGTTAGTTCGCAGTGTTTTCTGTTTTAGGAATATTCAAACAGGCGTTACTTCCTGCCACGTAACAGCGCATGCGCACTCCAGAGCGAGTCATTCGGCTACGTGTACCCAGTGAGTGTAGAAGAGTGAAGGTAACTCACTTCTGCTGGGATTAATCTGTTGGAAGACCTTAAAACCTCCCAGAACAGCTACACTATGGGAGGCGCTCAGAGCCTGGAGATACCTGGAGGAGGCTCCGAGGGGTACCACGTCCTCCGGGTGAGTTTGTAACGTCTGTAGGCTCCCGTGAGCTGTTAGCTTAGCTTCCGGTAAGAGGTGGTTCTATTCCGGATCAGTGTGTTGACTAGAAGTCGAGGCTGTTTCCCACGGCCTCCGGCTGATAAACTCAACGTCGGCTTACAAAATGCGGCGTTGTTTACTTAAGTTTCTGTTGCACATCGTTTGACGGGTTTGTGTATTTGTGCGGGTTGGTTAGCCGGGTGTTCCTGCTGCCTGAAGCCGAGCATCAGCAGTGCTGCCTGGAGTAGCCTACTGAATCAATCACAGCTGCCTGCTGAGTTCAGCTTCATGAACGCAGTTCCTCAGCTGGACTTTCGGTCACTACTCCGCGTGGTCACGTTTAGATCCATGATAAGTGTAGGATGCTAGTGCAGAGGTGTGGTGCACTGCTGCTCCGTAATGTTTCATAGCTCATGATGTGATGGGTATGCTAGTCCTGGAACTCAGTTTGTCTCCCATCTGTGGTCCAGGTCCAGGAGAACTCACCTGGACACCGAGCAGGACTGGAACCGTTCTTTGACTTTATCGTCTCCATCAACAACACCAGACTGGTGAGAAGCACCTGCATCACGAGGTCCTGTGCTAGATCAGTGATGAAAACATAAATGACGTGTCTGTTTCCCTCCAGAACAAGGACAACGACACCTTGAAGGACCTGCTCAAAGCTAGTGTGGAGAAACCTGTTAAGATGCTGGTCTACTCCTCGAAGACGCTGGAGCTGCGGGAGACCACTGTGACTCCAAGCAACCTGTGGGGGGGGCAGGGTCTGCTCGGTGTCTCGATTCGTTTTTGCAGCTTCGAAGGAGCCAATGAAAATGTTTGGCATGTGCTGGTAGGCATCCACCGGAGCCCCTCTGTTCTGTTGTCTCTGTTCACATGAAACAACATGAGTTTTATGTTTGGAACAGGAAGTAGAACCCAACTCCCCAGCAGCCCTCGCTGGCCTGCGGCCGCACACGGACTACATCATTGGAGCCGACACTGTTATGAATGAGGTTGGTTTTGCTGTCAAGCTTTAGTTCTTCTTTTTTTTTTAAAGCAACAGTTTTGTCTAATGTCCTTGTCTCTCTGACTGTCTTTAGTCGGAGGACCTGTTCTCTTTGATAGAGAGCCACGAGGGAAAGGGTCTGAAGCTTTACGTGTACAACACAGACACCGACAACTGCAGAGAGGTGGTCATTACACCCAACAGTGCTTGGGGAGGGGAGGGCAGGTAGGACACCTAAATCCACTCACAGAACATAAATGCTCCTGACACTTTCCTGTAAAGATCTCTGGTTAGGTTGACATTTTGTCTCTTCCTTTCCCCAGCCTTGGATGTGGGATTGGTTACGGATACCTCCACAGGATTCCCACCCGGCCTTTTGAGGAGGGAAAGAAAATCAGCTTCCCACCAAACTCCTCGAGTGAGCCTGTCGGCCCACTCAAGGACGGGTTCACCGAGGTTAGGACGCACACTATAGTGAACTGCTCAGTTCACATGGAAGCCACAACAAGAGCTCTGAAAGGCTGCTTAGACACAAGTGCATCATTAAAACTTACACAAGTGTTCACAGTCTCCCTAACTTTAATTATCCCAGGAATGCAAAGTTAACGAGACTTTTTCTGTCTCCAGGTCCAGCTTTCAGCCGTGACTCCTCCTCCTTCTACACCTGTGGTCTCCTCCAGCCTTGAAGACTCACTTTCCAGTCTGTCGATCAGCTCAGCCCCGCCCACCATGCCCAGTGAGCTGCAGACAGGTATCTGGTTTCAGTAGCTGCTAGACTGATATTAAGCTTGGGCGACGCGTCAAATTTTTCCAACCAATATTTGTTGGTCCAATAAATGACAGTGGGATGTATGTTCATGAGTTTTTTATTTTTATAGTTCTGTTTATCGATCATTATGAATTTTATTTTATAGATGTGTTTTTTTTTCTACATCGTCCAGCCTCAGCAGAAAATAGTAAAGAGTGACTGAATTGACCAGAATGGTTCCCGTTCCCACGGAAACGGCACAAACATCATTTCTCATGACTAGGGTTGTCACGGTGTGAAAATGTAACCTCACGGTTATTGTGACCAAAATTATCACGGTTTTCGGTATTACCGCGGTATTTTTTTAAACGTGCTACATTTTCAGACGACTACATAAACCCTGTATATCTGGAAAATATTGTCCTCAGTTTGTGTCAAAATTTTGCCTGAAATGTGTTATTTTGTAATGATTATTTGTTTACATTTTTCCCCTTTAGTCTTTAAAATACCAATATTGCTACGGCTGCTTTATATATATCGACCCATTGCATTCTCCCTCAACCCAAATCCTCGGATCACGCATTTTAGCTAAAAGGCTAACGTTAGCTTGCCTTGCGTTGACTGTAGAGTTGTGGGTGATGGTCACGCAGATGTGTCATGAGATTTGAAGCGTTGCTGCCTTTCACAGACACTTTTTCTGCACGTGCTGCAAACAGGATAGCCGTCTTCTATCAACTGTCCCTCGGCATTCTTCAAATATCCAAAAAATGCCCGTACTTCCCACTTTGTCTTCTTTGAGGGATAATAAATGTCCTGAGCGCTGCCGTCTCCTCCTTTGGCCATTATTTCAGCTTTAGCTTCAAGAAAGTTTTGGTTGTAAACAACAAAGTGCGCATGTGCCGCCGGCAACTTCAGCAGATGATACGGTGGCTGGTAAGGGTCACCGCGCCTACACCGCAGCCACGGTAATCCACCGAGATAATATATATTTTAAAATACGACGGTTATTATTGTCTACTTTTTTACCGGGGTTTACCGCTACACCGGTTACCGTGACAACCCTACTCATCAGCATGAACAGCGCACGTTGACGGGCTCAGCCAATTGCCAGTGGATGAATGTATCCAGTCACTCAACCCGAATGGAGATGTGGAATATGCAGTCCTTTAACTGTCTCCCTCCCTCTCCTCAAGGCTTACCCACAGTCCCTCTCCTCCCCTCCTCCACCGGTCCCTCCTTCGCCTCCATGACTCCACTGCATCCTGCCGCTACTAACTTCAACCCAACCACAACGCTACCAGGTGAGTAAGTTGGTAACAAACAAACACGAGCGAGCCTCTTGCTCCGTGTATCAAAGCTGTCACACACAGCTGGTTCTCTACAGATGCTCGCACTCCTCCAGAGACGCTTGGTCGTGCAGAGTTGCAGCTGTTGCATTCTGCTGTGGTATTCAGGAGATGACGCCATTTTAGGACCGCAGCAACACCCTTTGGGTTGGGCTTCACACTGACTAGCCGTTAGCCTATCAGCTTACCACAACTCAACAGAAATGATTCACTGCATTGATGGGTAGAGATTAGGTGGTACGTATGTTACACTTGCGTGTAACTGTGTCACACTTTAATCAGTAACACCTGTGGCCGTGACCCGGCCGACCTGCTCAACGTAGGCCCGTGTCTGTGCCAGACATCAGGTCCTTTGTAGACCAGGAAGACCTGACACAGAATCAGACGGCCCAGCCTTCAGATACATTTCCGTCCGTACCGTGATGTACGTACTGTTGCCTAGCAACAGTAGCGACGCATATACATCTTTGTTGTCTGAGAACATTTTGCTGGAGAACTTACTGCAAGTAGACTTTTATTTTGAATATCATGTAAAGCTGTACGTTTACGCAGGAGAAAACTCTATTGACTCTGTTCCATCACCATACTGAAAGGGAACCGAACCATGAAATGAAATCCAAGAGAGGAGTTATTTATAGTTTTTACACGGAAACAAACCTCAGAATAGCTAAAACAGCCCTTTATTTGCTGAAAAGAGTCCTGCTTTATTACGACTTGAATATCGGCGCCATGGTCGAGTCCAGCAGCAGTTATTATGATTCTGTGACGATATCAGTGGAACGTGAAACTGATCCCGTTAAAACTCACAGTTCAAAGTGGACAGAAGTGTGTTTTTAGTGTCAGATTCCAGATGAGTCGGTGAATGAGCGTGGTGTCTGTGTTGTAGGTCTGATGCCCCTCCCAGGTGGATTACCCCCACTTCCCAACCTCCCCAACCTGAACCTGCCACTTCCAGATCTCAGTGCCGTTTCACTGGGAGGAACCAGCTCCTTACCGCCGCTACCGGCTGGAACAACAGGTGAGTAAACAGTCAGACTGGTCGGCTGGCTCCTGTTCAACACCTGTTGGAGACAACCTGCAGGCTTCTTTAGAACCATTTGTTCTCCTTGTGCTCTGTTTTTTTTTTTTTAAAAAGTGTGTTTGTGTTCACCAGTGCCATCCCTGGCTCCACTGCCGCCTCTGAACCTACCAGGTCTCGCCCCGTTGCCTCCTCTGCCCACCATGCTTCCCTCCCAGCTGCCTCCTTTGCTCTCCCAGGCCGCGGCCCCTCTTGTCCCCATCTCGGCATCCATCCCTCCAGCCTCGGTCACGCCTGCGACTAACCTGGCCGTCGACGCTGCAGCCTCCACAGAAGCCACGGAACAGCCTGCTCCCACGGGAACAACGCTAACATCATCCTAAGAAAGCGGAGGAAGGACTCCCCTCACCTTCTGACACCTGGTTTCTCTCTGTCTCCCATCTGTCTTTCTATGTTTTTCTATTTATTTTGCCAGGAGAGGGGGCAGACAGATACAACCATTCAGACACTTTTGTGGGTGAGTAGGCTCGTGTGGAACGTTGTGAAGAGAGGACGGTTCTGGATTGTTCTGTCTAACGTGTCTGTACTGTACCGGAGCAGAACTGAGCTACTGTATAAGGAGGAGGTTTGGTCTCTGGGTTGTACTCTTCTGCAGTCACATCAGGGCAGAACTCTCTGAGAACCTTTTTTCTTTTTGCTTTCCATAACCATTGTAAGATGACGGGGCTGGCTGATGAACAGTCTTCACTGGTGTGTCTCTGTCATGAAGTGGGCTTAAGTAAAAACTGCGCTGCTGTAGTAAAACAATGACTGTAAACATGTAATCCTGACATGTCCAGCTCCGACCTTTTTTATTATTTAGATTTTGACACCCCAACCCCACATGATTGATTCATCTTTATGTCCAAGGTTAAATGAATGACTCGGCATTATTTTGCACCACCTTTTGTGTTTTGAAATGATTAGTCTCCATATATATGCAGAACTCTATCATACACGCTGTTTTCAGCAGTCTGTAAGAGGCTGAAGGCCAGACGAGACGCTGACCAGCGTGTGCCGTAAACACGGCTGGTTGGGTCCTTCTTGGGATGGCTGAAGTGAATTGTGGGTAAAGCTGCAGCCACAAGGTGTCTCTGTAAAAGCATGGAAGCATCTGCTGGATACACAGCCCGAGCAATAAAGCCAAATGAATTTTAAACGCTGTCCCTGAGTGTTGATGTAGACTTCTCCATCCTACACTGACGTTCTTCATTGTGGTTTTCATTCATTCTTGGGTAAAAACCGTATCGGTTGCCATAAAAATGTAACTTTTAAATTTAAAACGGCAAGTTTTAAAAGGATAAGACTTGGAGTTTGAGTGCTCCAATTAGTTTCAACAAACTTCTAATCAGCCAGTCATACGCCAGCGTGGACGTAATTTTGGGGCAGGGGGAGACGGGGGGGACATGTCCCCCCCACCCACACACTTTTTCCAAAGTCAAGGTTTGATCCCTGCACTTTTTACCATCCAAAAACAATATTACTTTATATTAAATTGACACTGGTTGAGCTCTAGGACCAAGCAGAAAACAACCGTTTGTGTTGAAGCCTGTTTCCCATTAGAGCCTACTGTAAAGATACCCCCCCCCCCCCCCTCCCCACTTCTAAAGTGAAAATTACGTCCATGTGTGGCAGAAACTATACGTAGTCATCCATGGTGAAGATGACTTGCTCAATCCAAAGGGTTCAAATGAAGGAAACTGGACTTCTTTGGTTTCTTGAAGATGTTTCGCCTCTTATCCGAGGAGCTTTGTCAATTCTAACTGGAAAATGGGAATCTCGTTCCTAAGCAGTAGTCCACACGTAGCCGGTTTTTTAAAAAAACGAATATCCGCCCCTCCAAAAACTTGCATCCACACCACCTCATTTAAAAAAAAAACTCTGTTCACACGTACCCGGATAAATGCGTTGTTACGGACATGCCAGACCTGTAGGCGGCAGTACTTCCCTCGTTCTTAACCTCGTCCTTCGTCTGTGGTCTTCCACAAGGAGCAGTAATTCCGCTTGCAACAACAAACAAGCAAAAAGCGCTTGGACAATTGATAAAGCGAGCGCAGCTCTGAGGGCATCCATGCTGTCGGCTAGTGTAAACACAGGTCGCACACGTGATGTCAGCATTTTTTTGTCGCGGAAAGTGACGTTGCGGACCTTAAAACTCCGGTTTTGTCTGTCCACACGCAGACACCCAAAACGGAGAAAACGCAGATCTTCACTTTGGCCGGAGTTTTTAAAAAGATCCGTTTTCGTGTGGATGACAGGCCAAAACGTAGAAAAATATCTACGTTTTGGCAGATCCCCGGCTATGTGTGGACAGGGGTCACTCCTTCCTGCGTCTAATCAACACAACACTCATCAGTGGATGGAGAGGCGGGGTACCCAGAGTAGTTAGGGCTTGTTGGATAATTGACAGCTACAGTTCATAAGCTTGACTCATATTCCAGTTAGAATTGACAAAGCTCCTCGGATGAGAAGCGAAATGTCTTCAAGAAACCAAAGAAGTCCAGTTGCCTTCATCTGAACCCTTTGTATTACCATGACCTGGATGACTGAGAGCCTTCACCAGCATATGACTTGCTCCAAGTTCAAACATCAGAATGGAGAAGACAGCAGGACCTGGTTGTTGCTACCAGGCTGGTCTGAGTATTTCAGAGATTACTGGTCTGGGATTTTAACCCACAACCATCCCTAGGGATTACAGCGAACGGTCTGAATAGGGTCTGACTTTAGTGTAAACGACATAAACCGTAGCTCTGCCTCACCTTGTATCAGCTTTCCGGCTGCTTTGGTTTGTAGCGGAACTGGAGATTCCCATCGTGGATTGCTTGAACTGACTCCTAAACCTTTACTGCATTTCTTCCCGGTACAATTATTATGATCCTTGTAAAAGATGTATTATCACAGGCTTGTCCACTAGCAAGAATTTAATTTACACCATTAAGAATGCAATATTGACGAGAAAGAATCAGTTTATTGGCATATCAAATATAATTCCAAATAGTGAACCTATTTTATGTTAAACTGGCCACTCAATGACGTTAAAATACATAGTCCCATATATCAAAGTGTTTCCAGATATCTGGAATGTTCATTTCTGTTAGGAACTGTAGATATTTGGTAGGGATGCGCCAATACCAATACTTGGAACAGCGATACGGATTACCGATACCGATACTTCTACCACACACACAAAAAAAAAGTTCCATGGGGGGCCACAGCAGCAAATGATCTGTCACCTTTGGTCTTCAGCCTGGTGCGCTGCACAGCCACCTCATAAATGAAACGTAACTGCTACGTTTCATTTATGAGAATAGATACATCCTTAATGATAAATATGTATAAACAGAAGGATACATTCCTTCAGCCTTTGACATCATCCATTGGGCCTAGTTAGGTCCATTAATCCTGATAGAGGGGAAAGATTCTGGATGCAGAACTCTAACCCCACTCACCTCATGTATGCCACAGGTCTGCGTTGTACCCGTTGTAACATCTCTAGATGTCAGCTTTAAAAATGAAACAAATATTTATGAACTAACATTACCTTCGATTACTAACACTAAATGACACGTTTCCTAGTTTACATTATGTTGTTAGAACACAAGGGTCTCTCATCATCTGAATTATCAAACTTGTTGGATTGTGAATCTGTTTAAAGGTTTTGCTCTATATGTGCCCCCCTTTTTAACTTTGAGACCTTCAAAGGTCTCTGCCCCTCACTCCCATATATCTCCACTGTCGTCTTTGTCCCTCCTCACTTCCAGCTCCTGGACCAATCAGAGCCAGCTCCTGGATCCATTCTCTTCTCACCCTACTGCTGATGGTGGGATATGGCTGGGGAGTTGAATCAGTGAACGTTTGACCTCTGACATCCTGATTGTTGGTACTTCAGGGACCTGTTGTCATGGCTACAGCCTCCTTAGTGGACACGAGAGGATGGAACTTCTGCTGCTTAAATCTGGATCAGAGTCAAGTCTGAGCCGGTCGGTTTGAGTTCCCCCATCGAGATCGGTTTCTTTTCCACTCACGAAAACCATAACCACCCTGCCACCACAAATGTATGTTTAGCATGATTATAATTTATTAAATTACTCTGTAACACAATGTTTATGTATATTTTAGGGTTATGGTTAGTGTAAGGGTTAGGACACGCATTATTTTGTGAGTGGACGGTTTAAATTCGCAGCTGGGTGGAAAAGAAACAGATCTCGACGGGGAACTCACGTCGACATGACACCTGCTGCTCCACACTGAGAGAAAATGTTGCTTTAAACATCAGAACAGATCCACAAAATCCTGGAAAAACAAGAACCTTTGACTTGGTGTCTGGAAAGCCACAAGTACACCTGAACGGTCTTTTGACAGCTCACCGACCATCAGAAACATTCAGCCGGCTGTTTAAAGTCTAGGTAAATCTGAAGTCTGGTTTGATTTTTGTTTCATCAAAAGCAGCAAAACACTGACGAAGAGGAATTGGTGACAGTTTGTTTCACCAGCAGGCTGAAGGTGAACCTCCTGTTGCACTAAGGTCTCAACCCGGAGCCCGGGTCTGGGGCTGATGGGAGAAACTTCAGACGACTAAAACGACATAGAAAGTAAAACCGCCGTCAACAATGAATCTGTCACCATCGCTCTCCTGCTGGATGCAACAAATGATGAGTCACTTTCCAAAGTAACTGACTCAGCAGTTTGTTCTTCTGTCACAACTTGCTGACTCAACATGTGAGGCAGTTATACTTTTGACCAGGGGTGGATTTAGGACTGAAGAAGATCCGGGGCTTAACACACACACACGCGCGTGCGCGCACTAGTCCAGATCATATATATTTGTCTTGTATCACATAATTTTTAATCTGAAGCAACATATTAAGCATTTTCAGGGCATATAATTGTTCCTGTTAGTGTTTAGTGTGAGATGATAGTAAATATTCCCTTTCTTTCTCCAACAACTTTACCTGATAGTAAGCTAACTTTAGGCAAACCAGCAGCACAACAAATATTTTCAAATAAGACTCACAAACCTGAGTCAACACCAGTCTCATCAAAGCTGGGGTTCTGTCGTAATTTTTGTCTGAAAAACGTCCTTATGTCCATCTTCACTCATGCGTTTCAGGCAGAGAGTGTAGAAGAAGCCGGCTGCTGAAGGGCTTCTTCTTCAGTGGTGGAGGCTCAGGCAGGCTGTATACAAACTACTGCCAGCTGCTCCCTCTCTGTTGGACTTTGGTACTGCATGTTACTTCCGCGATTTAGATCCGGGGCTTTTCATAAAACATCCGGGGCTTCAGCCCAAGTAGCCGGGCCTAACGCCGCCCCTGCTTTTGACCCTGATGTCATCCTGCTCACTCCCTTTAGAAACGGTCACCTCCTTGTTAGAGAAAGCCAGTTTATTTACTTTTTAACCAAATCTGTTGCTTCTGAACTTTCTAACTTTTTTTTTGGACATTTTTTTCTTCTAGTTTCTCAAGAAAAACTGTATTTTTTTTTTATTAATTTTTTTATTGACATTTTACTTTTCTGTTTCTGGTGCTGTGAAGTTTGGAGGATTTTTACTGCATTTTTTTTTCACTTTTTGAGCATTTGTTATGATGCGTAGATCTGTCAGGCTTTTCAAATGCTACAGTTTGACTGTTTAGTTTCTACATGCAGCTAATGCAGGAGATAGGTGGGAGGCTACTTTCATGCTCAGCCTGCATGTTAAGCTCAGAGTGACTGATCATTAAAAAAACGGGTAGAAAATAGTTTCTCATTTAAGGTCACCCAAGTGAATTTAATCTGCAGACAAACTTAAACATGTAATACTGCCATCCAGAGACAACGCTGTGTTGTTTACAACTACCACACCTTCATACAGGTAAAAGTTTTATTTACACAAACACTTTGATATATCAATTTGACCTCCAGATTAAGTTAATTATGCAGTAAGTCAGCCAACATGGAGCGTGCTCGCGAGCCCTGCTATGAACAGCATACTGGGTCTTCCCTCTGCATCAGGTCTGTTGGACTTTTACGCTCAAAGAAAATGCAGATAGATGTTGGGTGTCGGCTGCAGCAGAACACGTTGTACGAGCTCTGGAAACTTCCTGTTACCACAGTTCAAGTATGCACTGATGCACGATGAAAGTCGTTCACGTTAAACTAAAAGCAACATTTATAGCAGCGAACTGAGATCAGCGTTAGAATGAAAACAAACTAAAAAGTGAGAAAAGCTTCGTTATAATATGTCTTCCATTAAGTTATGCCCCCTGAACATGAAATGTACAATGCATCATCTGACGGGTTCTGCACAACAGTAAGTGGCTTTTCTCAGCTTGTGTTGAGTCCAGTTCTCTTCAGAAGGGTAGACGAAGACATCTACAACACTGCATTGCAACAATCCGCCCTCAGACATTCAGACTTATACCTGAACAAAAAAAAAAAGCATTAAGACTGAAACACAAATGCTTTCTGCAGACAGGCAATGCATTAAATTTGAACTAGGCCACAAGGCGGAGCGTTGAGTCGAATCTACGATAAACGAGACCTAGATTAGAAGGGTAAATCTAACAAGTTCTATCAGGGTTATGACGTCATGTTTAAATGGTTCCCTGGAGCGTGCACGGTTGATGACATGCAACCATTATTGTTGTGCCTTATTAGAATGGACATGTGTAGTCCAGAGCAACACGAGGGAACAGAGGCCTGATCAGGATGCTGATGCGTGTGGGCGGAGCTACAGGGAGCAGGTGTGGGCGGAGCCTCTGGGAGGTCCTACACAGCTGGGATAAGTCCAGAAGCAAAAGTGCTTGCTTCATTCGTTTCTTGTTTTAAACAAAACTCTTTTGCTTCCATCCGTTTCTGTTCTTGTCCTAAGTCATGCTTAGTGCCGAGTCACAGAGCCGAGTTCACAGGCAACATCCTCCTTTGTCCATTTGATCTGTCCTTTCCTTTATCCACTTCAAAAATAGATTGGGAGAAAAAATATGCAAAAAGCACCGGCCTCCATTATCCTGCGACTGAGACGATCCTGCCTGGAGTTTGACCTGAGGGTCCCATCAGTCTGGCCAGTCAGTAGGTGGGGGGGAGGGATGAGGCAGAGGGTTGCAGGGAGCCGGAGGAGTTGGAACGTCTCATGTGAGGGAGAAGGTAGGAGTCGGAACACAGCTGGTGAACGTCATATCGGTCCTCCTTTCGGTACGCCAGACAGCGGCGGATAAACGCCTAAAGGACAGGAGACAGTTTTAGGACACGAGAGACATCCTGGCTTATTGTCCCATGACCTTCAGACATAAAGCTGCAATGACATATCTGCAAAACAAGCTAGCTTTCAAACACAAGCAGTCACAAAACTCTCACCCCTCCCATCAGGTATCATCTCTAGGCCACGCCCCCGATACCAGAAACCCGCATTGCCAGAGTGAACAAGGGAGCACTAAACAGCAGTTGTCGTTTTCTGGTCCAACCGTTTTTCTGTTTGGGACTCTGGTAGTTTGTCCTGAAGCTGAAGTGGTAGCAGCTGGCTGTTTCTCCCTCTCTGGTATTATTGAGCATGAACTAGGGATGAGCCGGATACTCGTTTCAGATGAGTATCTGGTACGGATAAAGCATTTTTGATGAGTATGAGCATGAAACGAGTAAAACTCATAAATATCTGTAATCGTGCTGAAGGAAAATCCTCATTGGGTAACTGACTGTCTTCATGCTCTGTGATTGGCCAGTCAAATAGTGCGCCCGCCCCTCCCTACACACAAAACTCAGCAGCCGGCAGCTCAGTCCGCGTCCGGTCCATCCATCCATCCATCCATCCACACCCACACCCACACACAGACACACACACACACACACAGACAGTAACGGATCTCTCTGTGCTTGCTTCACTGTTCACGTTTCTTCAGTACTCCCTATGTTTTCTTCAGTTTGCTTCTTTTTAAAGTTACTTTAAAGTTATTTAAAGTAACTTTTTTCGTAACGTACGTGGTGCATTTGACAAGACAGAGCTGAAAACGGCTCGTGCTGCGTCGGTCACTGCCTCCGCTCCAGTCGGGTTTTTTTTCCTCCCTCTCTCTCTCGTCTTCCTCAGGATCCACTCCCTCTTTCCTATTCACTCTCTCTCTTTCTTTACATTTTTTAATCACAATTGTCTATTTTTTTGCTCATTTTAAATATATTTTAATCATTTTATAAATTCTTTTTTCTATTTTACATGTTTTGTTTTTGTGAAGCGCCTCGTGATTTTTATCGTGAGAGGCGCTATAGAAAAGATCTTTTCTTCTCTCTCTCTCTTAATTCATGCACTTAAATATTAAAGTTCTGATTTTATTGAAAAACTTGTTCTGTAATAGTTCCTTTACTATTGTGATCAAAAACATTTAAGCTCAACTCTGAGGCTGCTCTGTAAATAGTTTTCAAATAAACAATACACATAGCAACTTCTGATCAGACTTAAAATAACGTATTGATGTCAACCACACCAACTTCCGGTTAAACCACACCCACTTCTGGGTTAGGCCACTCCCACTCCGAGTACAGATACAGATAGTGGTGTACTCGCTCATCCCTAGTATGAACCTCTCACACCAATCCTGTTCTGCTGCTAATTACATGAGTGTAATGAAGGGAGGACCCAGGGAAGTGCGGTCTGAGCTGTGTTGAAGTTTCTGGATAAATGCTTTTGTCGGGCATCTTAGTTTTAGTCGACAAAGATTTTTGTTTTAAGTTTCATAGAGAAATAAGAGTAATAATCTAACACATGAATGTATGTCATTCCTGTACTCCGAGCTACTGGAGGGAGTTTCACACAAACATTATTTATTCTTAGCTGGCCCAGATTTCTCCAGTAAAACAATAATCCCCAGACTGGTATCCTGTATATTATTCATTGATGCAGATGTGTGCATCATTCAGTAGATTTTCACAGATGAAATGTATGATTTTCTTTCCTTAACAGAACGGACTCTTAGGAAGCATACAGAGTATTCTACTCAATATTTAAATATAATAAATAGGGGTGGGACTCGATGAAAAAGTCATCTAATGAACTAGAAGCTTTGTGATTAATTAAACTTTATCGCATTTTAAATCGTTCCAAGAAAATTTGCCCCAAACTATTTTTATTAAAAATAATGAGGCAGAGAATCAAACATTAGACATGGATATTATTGTAAACTCAAGCTCTTAATTTATAATAAAAATAAAACGAAATGAATTCATTGATGCCCAGTTATGGGAAAAAATTGGCAGCTTCTTAACACATAACCATAAAAATCAGGTCTACAATACATGGGAGCGGGTCTAAGTCTCAGGGCGACGCCATATTAGATGTCATGTTTCCTTCTATGGGAGCCCTTGAGGACAAAACACATTTACTGATTTGTAACAAACAGTTATCAAACTTTCACCATTCATACGCCTTGAGTTACACATTTACCTCTTCACTTGTTGCCATTGATAAAAGAGTCGGCTGTGCTCGTTATTTTGCTGAAGTTTGCCCTCCCCAGGGCTTTTGGACCATAATGGACATCCGTAGGTAAGGTCTTACTCCAACACAAAACTACTGCTTGCTTGCAACAATTTAGGTATCAACTGCCCCTATCACCAGGAAAAACACACGCTGTCACTTTAAAGTGATCAATACTGCGGTTAGGTTTGTGCTGGAAAGCCGCGTTGGAACGTCTGTTGTAAAGTACTCCACAATGTCGTAAAGAGCCGCGACGCGGTGTTTGAGATAGAGCTGGTGCCTATCTTCAGCACCGAGATGCGGCGCTCCCCCTGTGCCCACTCTCATCAACTATAATGGCTTCCATTTCAAATGAAGACACGAGCGTCCGCCTCAGGTGTGCCCCAGGCTTTAGTGTCTTTAAATGTATACTTTGGCAAAGTCCATCTACTTAAATGCAGTAATGTTTTTCCATAGCACCCATAGTGTTGTGCATTTTCACGAGCCTACAGAATTTATATAAATAACCCAGTTCTGCTGTTGAGCATCAACAGAGATGCTCATTAACATTTAGATGGGCTTAAACTGTTAAAAAGCAGGAATGTCACCCGTTATGGGCTCGACACACGGGAGGCGACAAACGACCGCGATCAGCAAAATTTGTCGCTGTCGCTTTTATTACCTGACACACGGGAGGCGACCCGCGGCAGCGGCCAGCGGCAAAGCCGTCCACGCGTTCTGTTCCATGGCGAAATCGAAACTTCCGTTGTTTTGATTGGCTGTGTCAGGTTGAAGGGAATGAAGGTTATTTAAGCTGTTCAGAGGTAATAAAGTGGTAGATATGATGTTTCACAAGGTGCTGCTAGAGTTATGTGAAAGCTTACTTCTGATTTTACTATAAAACATAATAATAATAAACTTCTCCTCCATGTTTGCTCTGAGGTGTACGGAGCATCATGCACGCTCATTGGTCAGTGAATGAAACCTCCGTTGATTGGTCCTCGTCCGAGCGACAGCGATGAAAAGTTGAAAATGTTTCAACTTTCTGGGATCGCGTCGCTGGGTCGTCTGTGCACGACACGTGCACAAGCGCAAAATTTCACACACACGTTTTTCACATTTCGCTTAGTAGGAGGGAGACCTGCGATTATCGCTTTGTCGCGCATGTCTCATTGAAAATGAATGGAGGAGAGGCGATGTCGCCTCCCGTGTGTCGAGCCCATTATTAGGAACCAGGGAGCAGAGAAAATAATCCTGAGCCACTGACTTCAAAACACTCTTCTTAAATGTGTTCTGATAAAGCCGGTTAAAAACCGTCATTTCCTTCTTCTATCTGCCCAAAAGCATGACTGCAGCGGCAGCACCATTACTTTTAGCTTTGTGAGACAGGCAGAAATGTGCATTTAAGAATAAGGCTCGTCAACGAAACCCTTTGCGTGTACGTAATTTTCACTTTAGAAGTGCAGGGGACATGGGGGGGGATCTTTACAGTATGCTCTAATGGGAAACAGACTTCAACACAAACGGTTGTTTTCCGCTTTGTCCTAGTGCTCAACCAGTGTCAATTTAATATAAAGTAAAACTGTTTTTGGATGGTAAAAAGTGCAGGGGTCAAAACTTGACTTCGGAAAAGGGGGGGGGGGGGATGCCCCCCCCCCTCCCCCAAATTACGGTCATGCGTGTCTCGTCATGCTCTAGTCACCAAAGAGTCATTTTTAGCTGGTCAACGTCTTGTGTTCGTTATGAGAAAAGGGGGCTTCAATGAAATGAATTAAGTCCAAAAAAATTCTGATTAAGAGGCAAGAAAACATGTTTTGAGCTAGCTTGATTTGCAGATTTGCTAATACAGCTTTAGGAACATGGACACATAAATAGAGCAATGAAAATATGAACAGCTGGATTCATAGTTTGATCTGTTTTAAAATGGTGGTTTTTAAACACCACAATAAACTCAGATAAACTCAATTCTTTTAGATGACTACATTAAAAAGGAGCTGGTAGAGAAAAACCTCATCATTACTGTTATAGCGCCTTCTAGAGTCCATAAACAATCATGAGCGTCACCTTGGCCTCGGTGCTGGCCTGGGGTTTAGCTGGAAACTGGACCTCTGTGGCTTTGAGGATGGTGTTTTCCTGAAGGATGTCCTGCTGGGACTGATTATGGCCAAACGGCTGGAAACACAACACAACAGAGATGTTTCCACAACTCCACAAACACCCAAAAGCTGCACATGCACACCGGGTTGATGCTGTACCTTGCGCCCATAGAGGCATTGGAAGAAGATCACCCCCACAGACCAGACGTCCACTTTGTTCGAGATCTTAGGTGGTTCCTTCCCCACCACAAAACACTCCGGTGGGAGGTACCTAACCGGACCAGAACACATTTAGCTACAGCCAATGAAAGGCTTTGCTTGTGTCCATCCAGGAGTTTGTCCATGAACCACAGCTACAACAGCTTCACTTCTGGTGTCAACTTGAATGAAGATGGCCACCATGGCTAATGGATGTTAGCAATCACAACTTGGCTACTAACATCATGTGTTAGTAGCCAAGTTGATCATAACAGATCTTTAGAGATCAGTGATACTACGAGAGCCTGCATGAAGGTACTTTTAGGATTTGACCAAAACAGACACCACTTCTCAACACCAGGCGATACCAAGGCCCTGTCCACACGTAGCCGGGGATCTGCCAAAACGTAGATATTTCTTTTGGCCTGTCATCCACACGAAAACGGAGTTTTTTCACACGAAAACGGATCTTTTTAAAAACTCCGGCCAAAGTGAAGATCTACGTTTTCTCCGTTTTGGGTGTCTGCGTGTGGACAGACAAAACCGGAGCTTTAAGGTCCGCAACGTCACTTTCCACGACAGAAAATGCTGACATCACGTGTGCGACCTGTGTTTACACTAGCCGACAGCATGGATGCCCTCAGAGCTGCGCTCGCTTTATCAATTGTCCAAGCGCTTTTTGCTCGTTTGTTTTTGCAAGCAGAATTACTGCTCCTTGCGGAAGACCACAGACGAAGGACGAGGTTAAGAACGGAGGAAGTACTGCCACCTACAGGTCTGGCATGTCCTTAACAACGTATTTATCCGGGTACGTGTGGACTACCACCTACGTTTTTTTAAAACGGGGTGGTGTGGATGCAAGTTTTTGGAGGAGCGGATATTCGTTAAAAAAACCCGGCTACGTGTGGACTAGGCCTAAGGTGTGTGTGTGTGTGTGTGTGTGTGTGTGTGTGTGTGTGTGTAAAGGCTCAGTTGATGTGTTGATGGGACTTTAGGAGTTCGAGCATCTCACCAGTAGGTACCAGCCCCCTGCGACGTCAGGTCCATCCCATCTACACCATAATTATCATCGTCCATGATCTTGGACAGACCAAAGTCTGTGATTTTAATTTCGCCACACGCGGTACCGTCCACCAACAAGATGTTACCTATGCAGCACACAAACAGAACCAATGAGTACTCAACAGGTCACCTGACTCGGATGAATACGGTTTTCCAATGGCGTCTTTCTGGACACCTGGTTTAAGGTCGTAGTGGATGATGGGAGGTTTGATTTCGTTGAGGTAACGCAGAGCGCTGACTATCTGCATGACAATAGAGCGGGCCTCTTTCTCTGGCATCAGCTTATTTTGCTTCAGGTAGAAGTCCAAGTCGTTTCCCTCACAGAACTCCAGGACTGTGCAGAATCTGATGACGGGAAACAATCACTCAGGAGCTGAAAATAGAGCTTAGCAAGTTCTTAAAAGTGGTTTCTTCCAGAGCAGGAAAACAGGCCTGAAGTATAAGAAAAGGCACCCCTTCACCCCATAGGTCAGAGGTCAGGGTCAGGGCTTGATCAGATCAGATCAATTCTAAACACAAACTGTTCATGCTGTAAACCTGAAGCTCGAACGGTTATGGGGGGAACCACCTCGGGATGTGTGAACACAGCAGGACTGCAGCAAGCAGAGGTCAGAGGTCACTCACGTGTCAGTATCCAAGGAGAAATAGTCATACAGTTTGACTATTCTGGGATGGTCCAGCTGCTTGTGTATCCGGTACTCCCTGCATGCATGCCTGAAAAAGAAGAAGAGTCAAAGTGTGTGTGTGTGTGTGTGTGTGTGTGTGTGTGTGTGTGTGTGTGTGTGTGTGTGTGTGTGTGTGTGTGTGACATTTACAAGAGTCTGGGGTGATCCCATCACAAGTAACAACATTACTGCCACAAGTGCCGACTAGAATTCCTCCTACACAGCTCTTGTGCAGATGTGAGCATAAGTGAGACCTACTTGTGGTAGTTTTCCTTCTTCTCCTCTCTCCAGTTCTTGTTGAGCTGGTGGATTTTAACCGCTGCATATCGCTGTTCGAACAGGTCAAAAGCCTGCATGTGGCAAATAAGCAAACACACACACACACACTTGGTCTTCAAACATGCTTTTAAACAAACGAGTAGTGCTGAAGCGAGCGTTACCTTGTAGACTTCACTGAAGCCGCCTCTGCCCAGCAGGTGCAGCAGCAGGTACCTCTCATTCAGAGTAGGATGGTCTTTAAATCTGTGAGGAGAACAAGTTCAGCAGTTCAAACGTTTTGTTGCAGATCATTTTGCACAAGACCGTTGTTCGCGTTGCCTGTTGGCTCAGACCAACATCCTGTGCTCAGTGACTGATGATCAGCTGAGGCTGAAAGGAGCTCTTTCTCTGACTCACACACTTCCTCTTCTGCTCATTTTCCTCCAGAAAAACAAGGATCCACTCATTTTAAAGCTCATGTGGAACAGAATAACTACAACTCAAAGCTGATTGGAGGGAGGATGTGTTTAGCATTCAAGCTGGACACACGGATGCACAACAGTGCTGACATTTTAATCGTTATGGCGTCATTTGTCTTTTACGCAGTGATAGTCACTCATTTCCCATCAAAGTAGGGATGCACTGATACTTGTAAGTGGCTTCACTGTAAATTGCCATTTCTGTTCACCCAATATTTTAGTTTTGTGATCATTTCTATCAATATATTTTATTTTTTCTCTACCTCAGTCTATTCCTGTTGAAAGAAGAGAAGAAAATAAAACCTGTATTCCAATTCATTGCATTGTTTTGTGTAGTAGAAGTATCTAATCGGTAGTGATGGGTCCAGCAACACTGATGCGTCAGCGCGTGTATCTAGCTCATAGAGCGAGACCCCTTGTCAGTGCGCGTGTCATTTAGGAGGTAGTCACGTGACTGATACAGCTGCGGTTTCGCTGGTCAGTGAAGTACCGGACCGTGTTTAAACGGAGGAGCGTCTCTGCCTGTCAACGGGATGAGTTTCTGTCAAAAAGGACACATTTGAAGCTAAATGATTCCACTGATACATCATGGAGCCAGAGAGAACACAGAATGTGGTCCGTGAGGAAGCATTTTGTTCTTTTTATTTCGTTTTATTTCCTCGTTTCATCTTTTTCCTCTCCTTTTGTGCTTGATCCATCAGATTTTAGTTTTTTTTATTCTTTTTTTACATCATTCATTTTATTTTCTGCAGGTTAAATGTCGCATTTGTTCAACTGAACTTTCATACAATAATAAAAGAATGCCGTCAATGCTGAGACGTCACAGGAAAAAAACGCATGCGGAAATTGGCCGTGGGTGCCGATCAGACTGGCCCACATTGGGTAAACGGCTCAGCAGGACTTGATGTCAGCAGAGTCTAGTCTGCAAAGATGTTCATGGTCCAGCAGGTGTCAGTAGACAAACGGTGCCACAGCGTTGACACAGTTTGGGTAATGTGCTGAAACTCTTCAGCAGGCTTCATCAACTCATTACTAGTAATTGCATTGGCGAGTCCTCAGATTCAAGTATCAGTTTGGAAAAAAGTGGCATCGTTGCATCCCTACATCAAAGAAAAGTCTTCCTACCACAGTTTGTGTGCATTCGTATCATCCTAGGAACCATGTTGTATATGGTACTTTGTCCCCTGGTGGGGTCTCTCAGGACAAACTGGTCTCATGAAGGAATCAAAAGAACCTTTATGAGAGAACAAGCCAAGAACCAGACTACCCAGTCCAGTCATCCACCTGTGGACTCCCCACCTACAGGAGGACTATAAAGGGTCCGGTCCACTGCTGACTCAGGGGCAGACCAAGACTGTGGGATGGGTGTTAGATGGTGCTCGAACCACAGCACTCTGGGGTCTTCTGGGCATGTCCTGCTGGCAGCAGGTCCCCAGGCTGACTCAGGACACGTTGGAGGGATTATGTCTCCACACTAGCCAGGAAACACCTTGGGATCCTGCTGGTGGAGGCTGATGGGGAAAGGAAGGTTTGGGCCTCTCTCCTGGAGTTGCCACCCCCGTGATCCAGATAAGCAAACAAAAGTGAACAGAGGGACAGAAGATGGGAACAGGACTCCAGCAGGACAAAAACAACTCAATCACCATCTCACATCTATAACACACCTATCTGCCCGCCATGGCTTTACTGCAAAAGGAACTTCTGAGCATTTAAAAAGAAAGCACATTAAAATCCTTCTTCAACGCCGCTTCTTGTGAAGCTCTCAGTCTGTGATGATGAAGGCGAGACGATTGTGTTCATTTTTCTGTGTCTCCATAACGACTGAAAGGTGTGACAAAGGAGATTTTATCTGACTGCTACGTTGATTTGTTAAAAGAAGCCAAAACAAGATAACGTCCTTCACTCCATTTTCAGTGGTCTCCAGGAGGATTGAATGCCTTGTAAGTCGTACTCTGGGGAAAAAAGCCCTGGTGCACCCGTGACAGCACAGAGAAGTCAGCTGGAGGAGAAAGCAGCTTCAGACGGCAGGATTAGGAGTCTTATTTCCACATTTGGACGCTTCTCCTCTGATGGGCTAACACCAACACGACTAGCACTGACTGCTCTGCTACGTTGACGTTCAATCTCCACAAATAACATAAGCCTGGAGGAGTTCTGCTGTGTGGTGGAGTTGCTAATGCTAACGGTTAGCTTCTACTAGTCGAGACGTTCTCTGCCGTTTCCTGGACACTAAACCAACATCAGCCGTCCCCGTCACAAGTCAAGATGGGTGAGTCCATCAACGTTAAGTGATGGTATGATGTAGATCTGTCAGGAGTTTGCTTTAGACGCCTCACAGCAAAACTGATTGTTTTAAACAGCTCTTATTTTCTATTAGTGCTCAGACGATGTGTTGTCAATTCATCTCAGCTTCTACCACGTCAAACTGTAGCGCATCATCTGTAAATCAGGCCGAGTTAGAGCCAGAATTGTGTTTGCCAAGTAGTTTTGTAAAATATCTAAATTAGATCGCGCTCTGGATAGTTGTGTTGTCTTTAAAAATGTCTAAAGGCCACCTGGTTCTCCTGAATGGAACCCTAACCCTGAATGCACTCACGCTGAGCTGTCCTCATTGTTTATCCTCTTCAGCTCTCTGATGTGAAGGTTCCTCACCCGCTCCAAACGCTCCAGCTCTGCCTGGATCTCAGCTTCCTCCTGGACACCCATCACAGAGAATCCACACAACACTCATGTTTAGTTGGCCTTTTTAAAAGAATCCAGAGAAATGTCTCAGTCTGACTAGGTGTTAGAAGCAGGTCTAAACTCTAAAACTGACCTTTTTTAAGTGTCCAAGGCGAAGCTTAAAGATTTCTTCCTGCTCATGGTATTCAGCAAGTGTCAGGCTGTGGAACATGAACATCTAAGTCTCCTCACAGAATAAAAACTGTATTCATAAGCTTGGTTCAGCCTTATTGATAAGATTAATTAAAGTTTGTGTGACTAGCTTTACTGTGCAGCATCCTGAGATGATCTCTCTACTCACAGCTGAGGCAGCGAGGGCTTGAGGAAGGGGTCCGAGTCGTTGCCATTGACCACCTTAGTTTTGCGCTGCTTGGGCTCAGAAGTGGAAGCCACAGAGAGGGAGGGAGATGCAGGGTTTGGAGGCTTCCTCTTGGCAAGCAGTTTCCTCTGTCGCTCGATGTCCTCCCTCTGCTGGTTGATGCTCTCCTGCTGCCTGCAATAGGAAAACAAACCGGAGAGAGAGAGAGAACAGGTCAAAGGTCCAGGCTGTCAAATCAAACAGGCTCAGAAAACGAATCCATGTCTGAAGGATTCTGGTCTCACTTGATGAGGTTTTGAAACGCGTGTCCGTCGGTCCACTGCTCTGTGTAGGAGGCGCCGTGTCGGACGGTGGTGAAGTGACCGAGGCGGAGGCGATCTCGCATGCTCTTCTCACGACATGACTGCTTCTCCTGGGTGCTCTGTGGAAGGAAGCCAGACAGAGGCTGAAGGTTTAAAGTTAAAGTCCCATTAGTCATCACACATCAGTGAAATTCATCTCCGCATTTGACCCATCCCCGTGGGGAGCAGTGTTGGGAGTAACGCGGTACAAAAGTAATTAATTACTGTAATGCATTGCTTTTTGCTGTAATGTGGTAATGTAAGGCATTACAGGGAAAGAAAATGGTAATATTTACTCGGTACAAGTGTCAGTAACGCAGTAATTACAATGCATTTTTAAACCCAGAATCAAGATGTGGATTTCCTAAAAAGTCAAATTGCGGGAAGCCTGAAAAAAGATCAGGTATCCACATATATGACGTCATTTATGGACTCAGCTTTGCGGGCATTCTATGAGCAGAGAGGACGCAGCGGTGACGGCTCAAATACTCCAGCTGCGTCCTGCGCGCGGCCGCGGTTATATTCACAAAATCGCTCCACCAAAACAAAGTCATTCGTTTGCGATCGTTTATATCAGCTCATATTCTCTGGTACTTCATGTAATTTTCAGCTGAGTTCATAATCTGTGCCCCGGTGATTTCAGCTCATTGTTGCTGGAGCGCATATTAAGCTTTTTATGCGTTCGGTAGATCCCTTTGGCTGATTAGTTAGAAAGTAGAAAATCTAGGAAACAGTTTTTCTGGAAGACGGAGAAAACATGCAGCATGCAGGAAGGTTAGAGAGACAGGGCAGGAAATTATTCAAATAAAATCAAGAAAACAAAACAAAGTGCTTGAAAAGAAAAAAAGTAGGTAGATTTATCCCCAATACACATTTTTACCAGTGAAAAGCAATAATAAATAAACATTTAATATTTATACATGTGATAGAATCAGATCACCCCAGAAGTCAGTCCCACATCCAGGGCCGTATCAAGGCATTTGGGGACCAAGGCAAATATAGGCTTGGAGCCCCCACCACCTCACTCCCTGCTCAGTTAATATAAGATGGCAGCGTGCTGAGAGTACATTTTGTTGTTGCTTTTATTTAATAAACAATCATTTTAAAGCATATCGGACTGTTTTTAACAGCAATCCTAGCTCAGACACCACATCACCTTCCACATATATGTCATGAGCTCACTGAGCGTCACATTACCAGATTCATATTGAAGTTGTATTGGTGAAAGTAACTTAAAGTAATTGTAGCGTGTTACTACATACTAGCTGGGAAAATGTGACCTTTGTCACAAATTAGAGGACCTTAATGACGCTACATAATGCATAAGTAGTGTAATGCCTTACATTTTAAAATCAGTAATAGTGTAATGTAATGAATTACTTAAAAATGAGGGTAACAAGTAATAAATAATGCATTACAGTTTTGAAGTAACTTGCCCAACACTGGTGGGGCGTGGTGACCTGCAGCTATGGCCGCACTCAGGAACTATTTAGTGACATTTCTGTGACTCAAGGTGGTACAGCTTCTTAGAGGGACATGAACGTTACCAACCTACACACATCTTCTCATTTTATTTTTATTACCAAATTTGTTGACATGGGAAAAATTCTCTCGATAAAAGTCGAAAATTTTGATAACGTTAAATTTTCGATTTATTGCTCAGCCCTAGTCTCATTGTTAAGGTCTTTGGTATGACCCAACCGGGATCTGAACCCAGATCTCCCCGTCCCAGGGCGGACACTGTACCACTGAGAAGGTCAATCGTTTATCAGCAGTATGAGCTGAGAGGGACGGTGTTACGATGGTGTTTCAACTAAAACGAACAATGCTCCAGAGCCACAATATCAATGTGATAAACATCCTAAAACGTAAGTTACACCTCCATGCAGAAAAGGCATCCACGTACAGAAACAACAGAAATGAAGGCAACAGGTGGCTGCTGTGGATGTTCAACTTTATGCTGCTGATCCAAGTCGTTTGATTTTGAGTACCTGCTGATTCAGATGATCCAATAATTCAGCAATGCATTAAAATGAGAAAAAAATGAACAAATCCAAGTTGCACCTAATTATTATCATTATTATTATTAATGCATCACTTTCTTTCTGCATTTGCCATTTTCTTAGTTTACCTGCCAAAAAACATCACTCATTCAGGAAGTACATTAATAAACATGTTAATATCAAGAATGTAATTAATAGTTGCCTCAAGTTGTTTATTTACTCTTGTGTGTGGCTGTAACAAGCTATCAGTGTCAGCCTACTGAGTTAGTGGCTTTAGCTGCAGGACGCTCAGGCTAGCGCGCTACGCTACACATCACAGAGATTTCGAATGTAAACAGAGTAAATTCATCATCAGTTCAGTTTGATGACCCAACTAGACTTGTACGTCTTTGTACGTCGCTGTGGCTCGGATCTAAACCTGTTGACTTGGAGCAACACAAACCTTTTCCATTAGTAGCTTCTTGCTCATGGTTATGCACTTGTTCAGTCTCTCCTTGTATTTCTCCAGGAGCTTTTGTTGTTCATCAATCTGTCTCCGTAAGTCACAATTAGCCTGTTGGACGGAGCATAGGAGGGACAGAATAAAACTCACACGTGTGGTCCAAAACAACTGATAAACATCGTAGACGTTTAGAAGACAGAACACACTCTCAGCAGGTCATCTATTCGGCCCTCTTTCTTCTCCAGGTCCAGACTCTTGTTGCTCTCCAGGGCAGCGAGTTTCAGGCCTGTCAGCTCAGTCTAGAAGCAGGAAACAAGCAGAGGTACATGTAAGACATGTTGCACCCACTATATCGTGTATTTATGATGAGGACAAGCGAGCTTTTGTACCTGGACACATCTGCTTAAAGACGCTTTAAGACCGTGTTCCACAAAGCAAAGACTGGTGGGAGAGGAGCTATTCTGTCGGACCTACAAAAACAAAAGTCTTTTTTTTTAACACGAACCTTTTCTGACACACATAGATAATCACGTCAAAATTCCCCGGGCAAGGGTTAACTCAGGAATCCTCACGATAGAACTCGGAGCAGAGTGGGAGCTCTGTGGAGATCGGCGGACGGACGGGAGACCTCGAACTGGACTTGATCCATTTCCACCCTGGAACTTTCCAGAGAGAATAAACTTAAAGAGCAAGTCACCCCCTACAAGAAACTTACTTCACTCCCACTTCCTGTTTGAAAAATGCAACAAATGCTGTTGCCTAGCAGACCGAGAGGGCGGAGCCGCTAACACACACACACACACACACACAGGCTCACAACGACACTGTGACATCATATGGTACCAGTTTACATCATAGTATACCTCTTAGCCAATAGGGATGACAGATTTAAATTCAAATGCATTGCAGTTTTTACCTGACAACGGCACAACACTGATAGTTTTAGGCAGAAAATTTAAATTTTAACTAAAATACACTAAAGTGCGAAACTATTGACTACACGTGTCTGCAGCACGATTAGACACGCATTTCTATAGTTTATCGGGGAAAAAAATGTTGATTTGGGGGTGACTTGAGTTCAAATGATCAAGATTCCTGAGAAAACGCAGAAAAACTTTGTATACTCACGTCAAAATAATCAATGATCTTGGGTCCGCGTGTGGGAGTCTTCCCTGTAGAAAAAGTTCAATTAAATTTAAGAGCAGGATGTCAGGAATTTGTTTCAACTGGTTGAATGTGGCCATCAGTCGTACCTTGACTGCTCTCAGAATAGGTATCAGCTTTCCTCTTCCTCCCCCTGGACGATTCGGAGTGCTTCTTCTCCGGGGTCTGTGAATCAATATGTAATAAAAGGAGGGGGAAAAAAACTATCAGAAATCCCCCGTGTTTTACCTAACACAGAAGACACAAGTGTTTGGCAGGGAAGAGCAGCAGGAAGAGAAAGTACATACTGAGTAGGCAGGAGAGCCTCCTCTTTTCAAATCAGAGTTCTAGAAGGAAAGCAGAAGAAGAGGTGGAGGTAGTGGGAGAGACAACAACAAGCAACATCCTCTTCTTGTGTTAAACTCAGAGTGAGCTTTACCTCAGACTCCTTGTCGCTGGATGAGCCCAAACTTCCATAGCTATGGTTTGAAGAGTCATTGGCCAGACCCTGCACAAACACAAAAACAACGGCGTGCAATAGCAGGGTCAGTACAGTTTCATTTAGGACACGAACTCAACAGAGAAGCCTGGCTGAAGCGGGCCTTCAGTCTGCCACATCTGACAGGAATGCAGAGTCTTAACTATTAGGGCGTGTCGCTTGGCCACTTTCCAACACAAGATCATTTCCAAGAACTGGGACTCCTTTTTATGAAAACAGGAACCTTTAACCTGCTTTACCATCATGGGAACCAGGGCTTGGTTTTACTACATTTGTCACATCAAACTTTCCGACGGTGCTGCTTCAGCTTGTCTGGTTTCTGCATCATCTCTCAAGATGGAGGCTTTAGGATTTTTTTTCTGTGCTGCTGTTACCTTAGCACCTCCACTAGTGCTCCCAGTGCTGCCTACGGTGTTGCCGCTGACAGCTCCTGTAAACCTGGCCTCCAGCAGCTCCTGTCTCCTGGGGTCCAGGCTGTGCAGCTCCTCCATGGGGCCTGACAAGAAGACAAAGGTGTCATCGGCGACAACTCATCACAACCGGCAACAAAATAACGCCACGCAAAGAAACTATAGGCAGAGAAATGACTAGAACTCAAAATAAAACAGTGACCATTTTAGATTCTTAGAGACAAGTCAGCAAGTCTCCATCATACAGTATTCTAAAATCAAACACTTTGAGGGGAGTAAGTTAAAACTGACCATCTATTTCACCCTAAAATCACACCAATAAACCTCAGTGAATGCATTAAATCACACACAGCCCTGTCATACATGTAAGACTGTACGTGCCGTCTGATCTAGTACAACCAGTTTCCACCCAGGGAGCTCACACAGGTCTTCTGCTGCTCAAGTGTTTGTTTCCCTGTTGGACATTTCCTGGCTGTCATCTTTTCATGGCTTCTGGCTCTGAGGCAGGCCTTAAAAGGCATAATGGAAATTAGAACAGCGCCAGGAGCAGCAGGGAGGTGATCTCAGGGCAAATTTGATCCATTTGGATTATTAAACAAACACATTGTTTTACTTGTTATTACTCATCATTATCTGATGATTGAATATTACTGTTACATTTCATAGAGATTTAATAACATCGCGTCCAATAATAATAGAGCCGCGTATGTTAATACAACCTCGAAAAGTGTAAGCGTGTGTAAACCTTCATGTCGATCGTCTAAACTATTGAAAAACATCCGGGGGCCTATTTTAGTGAAAACTGGCAGGGACGTGCATTCATGGAAGCACGCAAAGCTACGTTGTTTATCTACCAGCTGGCCGGGGCAGAATTACACTAACATAATAAACAGTCATGGCATCCGACCGCGACCATCGGCAACAAGAGCGGTGTGCGACGTGAACAGTCCCACAAACCAGACAACAAGCTAGCAGCAGCCTCCGTACAAACATGACGGCTGGCTGCTACTTGGACTGGCCCTAAACTGATCTGACAGCTGACGTTTGGCTTCGGCATCAGTGAACTTGACATCCATTTTTACTTCCACTAACGTCAGCTCGACACGCGAAACGGCCCAATGCACTGTCCCCGAACAGAACACATTTTAGGGAGACAGCGAACTGGTCGAGCACCTCTGGTGTACCTTCCTTGCTCTTTGCGGTCGCCGTTATGTGTTGTTGAGAAACCGTTGGGGACGAGGAGAGCTGCGACCAAGATGGCGTCGCCTCCAAACTTCCACCACCACTTCCACTGTTACTTTGGACACTCATGAAGCCACTTTACCGCCGAGAGGAGCCAGCGCACACACTACTGCCGTTAGCGGAAATCCCAAACTCTCGTTCATTGTTTGGCACCTGCAGCAGCCAAACGAACAGGCTAAGAATCCGAGGGCTCGTCCGTCTTTGTGTCACTGCTAGACGCCTGGCATTTTGTCACCCCGTGCGGGTCCTGCGGAGGAGCGGCTTCTTGAAACGGATCCAACGTAACCTTTGCATGATGACCGCACCGCGCGCCTGTCAGCATCCAGCTCGCGAGCGGAGCTTTGATTCCAGTAGGCGAGGCTAATATCGCGAGGCTTGCGCTCACCTAGCAGCGCGAGGAGGGGGATGGCTTGACACCAAAACTGATCTGGGATCGTTTCCTCACAGTCGACCTGAGAACAGTTTCTCTTTGGTTGACTCTGAAACACCCCCCAAAATGGCCGAAAGTTGTTGCTTGTATCAGGAGAGGCGAGAAATGCGAACAGTTAAATTATTCATACATTTAAATTGAAATATATAAACGATTAAAAAAAACAGATATGTACGTTAGAACCTCATCAAACCTGCTCTCTACTGTGAGCCCACCGTGTACAGTCAGTGTGTATGTCTTGTATAACTTTTACAGTTGTGTGTGGGTTTACGTGCTGGGTTGGGCAGAGGTCTTGATGCGCTGTTTTCCTGTCTTGAAACACAAGTTGCAAGCTGGGGGAGGGGGTGTGCAGGTGGGAGGATAGTAATGTGGTCTGGGCTGTAAGGTCTTTTGTTCCAAATTTGGTGCAGTGCATCAAAATGCCTTTGTCACCATGAAGAGCAACATGAACAAGACAATTTGACACTTGAATTGGCCTACATCTTCATTTTAAAGATTCAACAAAGGATGATTTGAGCTTTGTGCATCAGAAGATGGGTCCACTGTGATCATAATTGTAAGAAACAATACTCGGGTAGGTTGCGGTGTTTAAACCAGGATTAGGTGGTACTACAAAGTCCAAAATGGGACCAGAACATCTCCACCATACATCACCAGCAGTGGCAGCAACGTGAACTGTTCAAGGAAATATGTACGTACACATATGTACATAAACTTCCTAAAATACTTTGTTAAAAATGTCAAAAGCTAGTTGCAGAAAATGGTATTTTGTGAAAATCTTGCATTAAGATTGCCGCTCGGCTTCAAACCTAAGTGCACCTGCCCATGGTAACCTGGTTTCTCTCCTACCCTTTTTGATGCCATGGTTCCCATGGTAACAGAGCAATCTATTTGACATGCTTTGAAGAAGAGTGCACAAGATTGTACATGACACCAAGCACACATGCAAACACACATATGTGCGCACACACACACACATAGCCTGAAATGTGATGGGTAACACTGGTACATCAGGGGATTCCTGGAGCATCAAGCGCAAACCTGGAAATGTTGGCTAAGATTCACAACTGCAGTTAGCAATCATGGTGGGCAATTTTTAATAGTAAAATGTTGAAAATTGCAATCGAATAATTGTTCTGAAGCCAAAATCTTTGCTGATAAAAAAACCACACAAAGGCTCATCTCACATTTACATGAAACGTGCTGATGATACCCAAAAATTTAGTTAAAGAGCAAGTCACCCCCAAATCTACTTTTTTTTGCTGATAAACTAAATAAACGAGTGTCTAATCGTGCTGCAGACACGTGTCGTCAATAATTTGGCACTTCAGTGCATCTTAGTTAAAATTTAAATATTCTGCCTAAAACTGTCATTGTTGTGCCGTTGTCAGGTAAAAACTCTGCACTGTATTTGAATCTAAATCTGCCACTGCTATTGGCTAAGAGGTATGCTATGATGTAAACTGGTACATTATGATGTCACAATGCTGTCGTGAGCCTGTGTGTGTGTGTATTTGTTAGCGGCTCCGCCCTCTCGGTCTGCCTGGCAACAGCATTTGTTGCATTTTTCAAACATGAAGTGGGAGTGGAGTTAGAGTCTGGAAGGGGGTGACTTGCTCTTTAAAAGTCTAAGGGCTGACGAGGCAAAAGTGCAACTTTCTGAAAGGTGTGTGTCTTGTTCCATCTAAGTGAAACAAAAACTAAAACACCACACCAACAGTCAGGCATGGTGGTGGTAGTGTGATGGTCTGGTGATGCTCTGCTGCTTCAGGACCCCTGGCTGTAATCGATAGAATCATTAATTGAGCTCTCTCACAGAACATCCTGAAGGAGAACATCTGAACTTTGACCTTAAACAGGTTTTTCATGCTGGTAAACTCTACAGACATTCTTTTGACTTTCATCATTAGAAAGTTCTCGCTTAGCACAAGGTCATATTAGAGAACAGAAGTAGAATTCATTTAACAGAAGCTGCTTCACACATGAAAATCTGAGAGGGCAACCATGAGCTCTGCAGGGGAATGATGAGCTGAATGATGATGTCTTCTACAGTCGTTTTTACGATGGTTTGTAACATCCTGCTTGGTTGTCAATCAATGACGGGGACTTGGAGCATTATTATTATTTGTCTGATGAGGACGCATCAAGCTGTAGATCAAATTCATCATCTTCAGAAACCTCATCTTCCAATTTAAGATGCCTTGCTGCAGATCTGGAATAAAAATTAAATCAAGTGCTCAACAGCCTTTTCAGTTGCGGCTTAGCTGATCACTTTAAACAATTACACCTTTAGATTTAAGGAAGCAAATCACCCCGACTTACACACACGTCGGTCTTTCCATCTTAATGAGGACCATCCATTGACTTCCATTCATTTTTGTGACTGAATTATGCCTAACCCATCCCCTAACCCTAACTGTAACTAAAACTTAATGCACACCATACCTCTAAAACCAACTGGTAAGCTTTTAAAAAGTGAGGACCAGAAAAATATCCTCACTTTTTTAAAAGCTCTTAACTCTTGGTTAAAAACTCAGTAGGTAGTAAGTAAAAGAACACACACACACACACACACACACACACACACACACACACACACACACACACACACACACACACACACACACACACACACACACACACACACACACACACACACACTAGACCTTTACATTTGGACTTTGCATCCTTCATGCTGTGGAGACTGTAGAACACTTTACTTGGAGCAGGGACAGAACTAAAACAACTGACCCCAGAACCTCCTCCAAAGAACTAAAGTGACAGAATATTTTAAAGAGCAAGTCACCCCCAAATCAACTTTTTTTGGCTGATAAACTACAAAAACGAGTGTCTAATTGTGCTGTAGACACTTGTGGTTAATAATTTGACACTTTAGTGCATCCTAGTTAAAATTTAAATATTCTGCCTAAAACTGGCAGTGTTGCGCTGTTGTCAGGTAAAAACTCTACACTGTATTCGAATTTAAATCTGCCATCGCTATTGGCTAAGAGGTATGCTATGATGTTAACTGGTACATTATGATGTCACAATGTTGTTGTGAGCCTGTGTGTGTGTGTATGTGTTAGCGGCTCCGCCCTCTTGGTCTGCCAGGCAACAGCATTTGTTGCATTTTTCAAACATGAAGTAAGTTTCTTGTAGGAGGTGACTTGCTCTTTAAAAAGCATAATGTGGAAAACGGATTGGAAGAATTAAATACAGCCAATGTTCTTTTGGAGAGGTGGTTTTATTGTACATGTAATTATCACCTTTTATATTATATTATCCATCTTCTCCGTGCCATTAGACCACCTCCCACTGATCTGAGGCAGAGCTGTCATGGAGACCCACAGCAAACTATAAGAAGTGTTACTATGGCAACATAGTATTGTGTATGTATGTATGTCCAGAAAATGTGTTAAAAATGAACAATTAACTGTGATAAATGCATTAATTCCTTATTCTGGGAATGACTTTTTTTATATAAAATAAATAATGTCATTGGCACCACCAGGGTTCTATGAGGACCAAGTCACTGAAAATCATTTTTAAAGAGCCTAAAAAAATGCACAAAAGAGTCAGACACAAAGTTCAATTACACCAACATGCAAGTACAACTTAAATGTTTATTATGATAAAAGAAACAATCTTAATGAATCCACAAACAAAGGAAAGATGCATTTAGAAGTTTGGATTTCACAATTTCTTTAATAGAAGAAACCTGTTTACGGCTAAATGTTCTCATTTAATCTTTTTACAAATGCAAAAAAAGATGCTGAGTGCAGTTCGGTCGTTTTTGTCTTCCTCTCTCGCTGAAGCTTCAGGAAAACATACTGTTCTTTGGCCGAGAATACTGCTTCAGTTCCTCGTACATCCTGACGTATGAACTCACTAGGTCCTCCATGGTGTAAGCCTAAAATGGAAACCATAAATATGGAATTCAAAAATCCATTTTTTCAAATGACCTTTTCTAAATGTATGCATGAAAGAGATTATTTAATAATGTGAACAGTGAGAGACAGCAGCCCACCTGTGGAGTCTCACAGACGAAGACGACGCCCCTCACCATGGTGCGGAAGGTCATCTGGAACACGTTGCCTTTGCTGCTCCACTCGGTGATGCGGTTGAATGGATGCATCACTTGCAGCTCCTGCACAGTTTTCAGTTAAGTCAAATAACCAGTAACAGCTGGCCATCGGACAAAAAATAGAATAAGAAGAAGTTGAGAGCATACCTTAGTTTGGGGGTCTATTAAGCTGACACCTTTTTTGTGAATGGCAATCCAAAGTATATTGGGGTAGTCGGGTTCACACGTTTGCTGAAGATGAAACAAAATGATAAGATTGTTTTCTGATGTGGTCATTGCTGCAGCTTAATGACTCACTTTAACTTCAAAGAAGGCACAGCCAAAGGTGGGCCAGCAGGAAATGGTCCTCAGGAAAGCGACCTTAGCCTCCTGCACCGTGTTGCCACTCTGCCTGTTGTATGACGAGATGATGTTCTGCAGACAGGAATGAAAACAAATGAGGTAAATGCTCCTCACGTTCCTACCGTCTGAGAGAAAAATCAACAGGGAGGCTCTTTCTTGACCTTCTTCCAGTCCTCAGGAGACATGATCTTCAGCTGGTCAGCAGGAACCAGCTCATTCAGCATTTTAGGGATCATGACAAACTGGGACCTGTCAGAGTCCACTGTGGCTCTAAACAGCAGCCCACCCAGATTTACCATGTCTTCTTTGGTGCAGCTGTGGTATCCTCGGAGGTACCTGGGCAGCTCCTGCAAGGAACCAAACCAGAGGTGTCGTAACCCAAACATGAGTCAAGCTCAGCAGAATAATTGTTGGGCTTCTACCTGTGGGAAGTGGAAAGTCATATCTGCAACCAGGTCTTTCCCAGGGATCACATTGAACCAGAGCTTCCGCTTGAAGATCACCAGGCATGGCAGGTTGATCAAATGACCTGTGAAACAAGACGGCATTCATAAGAGTACTGGGATATGACAATTCAAGCTGTCATGGCAATGCATTACCTTCCTTAGCTTTCTTTGCCTTCTTAGGAAGCTCTGAAGGCTGCTGGATATTGTCAAAGAAATATTTGTCCTCATCCAGGCTAGTAGTCACCTAAAACACGACAGAACAGAGGCATCCAGGGTTCTTTTTTTTATCCTATTATTTAGGACAAATTCTTATCATTTGGGTCAAATCCCAAAGAAAACAACAACTCATAGAAAGAAACACTGGGTGATGTTTTCATTTTGTTGTCTAACGACTTGAGAAGGAGACACCAAGAGTGTGACCTCACCTTCTGGGTTGTCTTCATGTACAACCCGTACCCATCAGCTGAGCTCAGTCTGAGGAAGGAGGCGATGCGGCAGCGCAGCTCTTTGTTTGTGGTGGTTGAAGTGACTTCTAACAGCTGAAAAAGTCACAAAGAAATTCTACTTGAAAACATCTGGTTCCAGTTTATTTTCCTAGTCTTCCTGAAAACGACATGGCTGCACACAGCCAGACTCCAGAGTAGGATGATTACTCAGGGTCTTACATCATTTGTGTCATTTGGGAAGTGGACTTTATAGAAGATCTGGGTGCTGTTCTGCTGGATGGCCTCCACCTCTGCTTGATGGGGAGGTAGCTTCCTGGGCTCCTTACTGCAGGGTTAAAAACCTTGTTAAAATACTGGTTACACAAAAAATATGACAATTGCTTTAAACAGGAAAAAAGTAAAAATAAATAAATAAAGTAAACAACAAACAATTGTTAAACTAAGACATTTTTCTTTCCTTTTCCACAAAAGGATGAGTAAAGTGAGTTTTGACCATTTTTCACCCGTTAAGCAATTAAAAGAAGTTTGTTAAAAAAAATAAACACTAAAAAGGCCATAATTTGATGACCGGATTGCTAAAACCACTGAGTAGGCCCAGTGGATTGTGGGTAAGGGTCTCTGTGACCAAGGCCTGGGGGACAGCCAAGGATCAAACTCTTGTTGAATTTGTAAAAACTTCCACTGTTTATAAAACAGACGAAACACTAATATGTCTGCTGTGACTTGACCTGACCTGCAAATCTCTTGCAGCCTCCGTAGGCAGCCGGCAGACAGCGGGTCTTTGCGCCGCGACTCCAGGAAGCGTTGTGCGTATGTCTTCAGATTTGGGCTGGGCGGGAACAAGCCTGAGCACAACCACATCAGCTGCCACCCTCGCTCCACACTCAAGCTGAAGGGTTAGGGGGAGGAGCAAGAAAAGATGATTAAATGTGCTGACTAGAGACTTGGAGGGGGTTTTCCTTTTCAAATCCAGGACAGCCTGAGGAGCACCTGCTGCTGTTGTTGGTCATCTGTCTCATTATCTGGCAGTAGATTTCATCCTGCAGGGCTTTATGCCGCACGGCCGAACCAAAGATCTGTTCAGTCAGCTCCAGAGGACTTCGAGAGTGTTTGATGGGGTAGTCGCCCATGTACTTCAAGATGGGTGGAAACCGAAGTGAAGGATTCACACAGAATTGATCTGAATAAGAGTCGTGGGGTAAAAGCACCAAAATCACAAACAGTCATGTTACAGAGGCAGCATGTTTTTCCAAAGGATATCAGTGAAAGCGTTGCAGGCCAGGCCGCTGAGTTCTGAGTTGCGGACCAAAGTCTTCATGAGTGGCTGTTTGATGGGATCTCTGGAAAAAACCCAGAGCTTCTCCCTGGTGACTCCTTTGGATGCACCGCGGCCGCCATCTTTCCCAGCAGACCTAAAACAGAAAAAAAAACTATAAACAATATCTTAAACAAACAGACATGCATGCACAGACCAAAATGGGGTACTTTATGACTTTTTTTTTAGAACAGAAAAGACTTTATTGATCTCACAGTGGGGGAATTTGCTTATTACAGCAGCACCAACACTTAAGAGAATAGTTTAATGAAAAATAATAACAAAGGTACGTGTAGGTACATGTATATCTTTAGAAAGTTATAATAAATCTATGATCAATAAAAAACATGTCCGTGAAGTTCTTTGTACAAAATCCCTCTCACATAAATCAACCTCACCAGTTCTATTGTTGAAAATTTCAGTACCTTCCAGAATGAGCTGTTTCACGGCTATGTTACTGTGAAGGACAGAAGACGGGAGTTGTCGGATTCTGAGGGCGTGGTGATTGGACGCCGGCTGGTCCTTGTTATGGGTAACGAGGCCGGGGAGAACAAAAGGATGGCAGATCTACCAAGGTGGGGTGTGTGGTTGACCTTTCATTGTGGCACCGGATCCTTGGGGGCGGGATCTTTCGCAGTCGTTTAGGACTGCCGGCGACGAAGATAGTTGAGCAGGTGGCAGTTTTCCAGCGATAGGAGGGAAGGCTTGACGCCTTCTTTAGTTAGCGAGGGCTGGGAGTAGTTGGGTGCCGAGACCAGGCCAACATCTGCCGCCGCAGACTCTGGCAACAGGACCTAAGTTGTGGATTTACCCGCCGCCCTTGCAAGCTGAGCCCCGGGGCGTTGGGCGGTGTCGGAAGCTCAGACCCCGGGGAGGGGGTCGCATCAACTGGGACAGCTAAGTACCGCTGCCTGCTTTTATTTATGCGGATCAGCTGGCTTTTAGTGTGAAGGACTAGTGTTTTATTGTTGATTGTGATTGTCTTATTATTGCCGGTGTAAATAAAGGCTCTTTTTGGATAAGTTGTTGCCTGCTGGTGCTGTTTTTGGGTTCTGGCTGGGGGGCAAGATATTCTGCTCGTGCTCCCACTGAAACTTATATTACAGTACTTTAAGAAAACAGGCCGGAGATAACCATCCATCACCCAATCAGGTTGCTACAAGCTGAGAAGCTCTGATATTCGGGAGGGGTTATGAGTAGAGCTGCTGCTCCAGCAGCGACAGGTCAGGGGTGGTTTTATGCTCATTTTCTTTATTGTCACATCACAACAATAGACTTATTGAACCAGCTCGTAGAAGCATGTTCCCTAAAACCAAGCACTGACAAAAACCAGTGTTAATTTTGTTGACAAAATATTTTCGTCTTTTTTTTCGTCACGAAAATGTATTTACAGACGAAAATGAAACAAAAATTCAAAATAAAAGCTTGGAAAAAGACGAAGACGATAATTAAATTGATTGAAACTTTTAGTCAACGAATGAAAGACGAGACGAAAATCTATGATGACGCTCTTCTACATGGCGCTCTAGTGGTTTTTTTATTCAAGTATTCTATGTTCTTAGCTGTGTGTGCTACATCTGATCAGTGGTGGTTAAGAGTTTGGACCCTGTGTATTAAATTACACTAGTTTTTCCGTGCTCTATACAAAAGTAGGAAATTACTTCATTAGAAAAAATATATGCATTTTGTTGACTAAAATTGCTTATTTTTATCGACTAAAATTACTTGTTATTTTCGTCGACTAAAATGGGACTAAAGCTAAAATAAATCCAATGACTAAAATTGGACTAAGACTAAAATAAATTTTTAGCCAAAAGACTAAGACTAAAATTAAATTAAAATTTCCTGTCAAAATTAACACTGACAGAAACTGGATTCTAGAGGAAGTAGAGAGACACATGGCAGCTCTAAGGAGTGAAAAAGTGAGTTTTCCATAATGTCTCCTTAAAAATTACTACTTGTTTTTTTTCTTCTAATTAGCATCATGTTGTTTTTGAAAGACAAATTAAGTGTTTAAGACATTTCTGTAAAATGACTCAAAAGGTTGTAAAAATTACCTAAAGTTCTCAAGTGCAAAGCCTTTCAGAGAAACAGGAGCCACCGTCTCTTCTGTTATTGGGATGTTGCCGGCGTTGGAGGCTCTCCTGATGTTTGGACGGAAGGGTTGCTGCGGGTGAAAAGAGTGCATCAGTGACCCCGCACGGGGAGCACACACTCAGAGGAGCTGTTTGGTCTACAGCCTTCAGCAGACCAAGTTCTCAGTTTACAGAATATGGAAAAGAAACTAAAGAATTAAAATGTCATTCAAACAGAAAATGAAGTAAAAATTACACGCTGGTATCGCTGTTTACAAAAACAATCTGTGAAGGTAAACACAACAGAATAAAAACGTGCATCACCAGCAGTTCTCCTCCACAGCAGACGTGTCATTAATGAGAAAACATTACCGCTTGACACCTGCAGTGATGCTTTCTAATCTTTTCTAATGCCTGAATAATGAGCCTGTTTTAGGACTTTTCATCTAACCCGTAAACTAGTGTGATTGTATAGAGGCAGAAAACACCAAACAGCCTCCCTTGAAGGAGGAACCAATAATAACAAGGCATGAATGAATGACTCTACCAGCATCTCCTCTGTGGGATTGGTAAGAGTCGGCAGAAACTGGACACTGTCCATGGAGACTGCACCACTGCTGCTGGTTCGCCTGTTGGTTGCTCTGAACCAGTTCTCATCCTGGGAATGTTTCTCATCTTTGTCTACTAACAGCAGGTCGCCGCGTTTACAGACCAGGAGCATGGGATCGTCTGGAGACGCAGACAGAAACAAACGTTTAGACGTACAGCAGTTTTGATGTGTGAACCTCCATCTTGTTGAAGACTCTTACCGTGCTTATTGACATCCTGCAGAACCACTGCGTACCTGGATCTCCGTCTGAGCTCTTTGACAATGAACTCCAGTACGTTGACCATGTCTGCAGCTTCCGCACACTTCAGCACATACTCTCCTCTGACTGTGGCCAGAGTCGTCGTCTGGTGGTTATCACTACACAGATCACATTCGTCACTGTTTCTTACTGATCATTTAAAATCATCTGAAGGTTTGGAGGTGACAGGAGGAGGAGCCGCACCTTGTCATGTTGATTTTCTTTACTTCCAGGTACGGAATCTCAACGAGAGTCTTCTCTTTTCTCTCCATGAAAATGACACCGAAGCAGTTTACAGCTACAACAAACCTGCTTTTGGGCAAAGGAGGTCCTGTAGGTAAACAACACCATAAAAACGGTTTAGTTAGTGCGTTTAGAAAAGTACAGAAACCCTCAAATACAAGAGGACAAATAAAGCTGTCCAGTTTTCTAAGCCTGCCTATGATTGTTTATCTCGTGACCTTTTGATGACTCACAGGCAGATTAACAAATGCTGTTTAGGCAAAAACGGTCTAAAAAGACTTAATTTTTCCATTTTTTGTTGTTGAGCCTAAAATGCAAGAAAATAAAAAGACTATCCAGTCTGTCTGAAATATTCTCTGACTTCATAGATGTAAACGTCTTAAAGATTTTTGTCTTTTTGTTGCCTTTCAGGGCTACTTAAACATCCATCCATCCACCCATCCATCCATCCACCCACCCACCCACCCATCCATCCATCCATCCATCCATCCATCCATCCATCCATCCACCCACCCATCCACCCATCCATCCACCCACCCACCCATCCATCCATCCATCCATCCATCCATCCATCCACCCATCCATCCATCCACCCACCCACCCACCCATCCATCCATCCACCCACCCATCCACCCATCCATCCACCCACCCACCCACCCACCCATCCATCCACCCACCCATCCACCCACCCACCCATCCATCCATCCATCCATCCATCCATCCATCCATCCACCCACCCACCCACCCAACCATCCACCCATCCACCCACCCATCCACCCACCCATCCATCCATCCATCCATCCATCCATCCATCCACCCACCCACCCATCCACCCATCCATCCATCCACCCACCCACCCACCCACCCACCCATCCACCCACCCATCCATCCATCCATCCATCCATCCATCCACCCACCCACCCATCCACCCACCCACCCATCCACCCACCCATCCATCCACCCACCCACCCATCCATCCATCCATCCATCCATCCATCCACCCACCCACCCATCCACCCACCCATCCACCCACCCACCCATCCATCCATCCACCCACCCATCCACCCACCCACCCATCCATCCATCCATCCATCCATCCATCCATCCATCCATCCACCCAACCACCCACCCATCCACCCACCCACCCACCCAACCATCCACCCATCCATCCACCCACCCACCCACCCACCCACCCATCCACCCATCCATCCACCCACCCACCCATCCATCCACCCACCCACCCATCCACCCATCCATCCATCCATCCATCCATCCATCCACCCACCCATCCATCCATCCATCCATCCATCCATCCATCCATCCATCCATCCATCCACCCACCCACACATCCATCCATCCATCCATCCATCCATCCACCCACCCACCCATCCATCCACCCACCCACCCATCCATCCATCCATCCATCCATCCATCCACCCAACCACCCACCCATCCACCCACCCACCCACCCAACCATCCACCCATCCATCCACCCACCCACCCACCCACCCATCCACCCATCCATCCACCCACCCACCCATCCACCCACCCATCCATCCACCCACCCACCCATCCACCCATCCATCCATCCATCCATCCATCCATCCATCCACCCACCCACCCACCCATCCATCCATCCATCCATCCACCCACCCATCCACCCATCCATCCATCCATCCATCCATCCATCCATCCACCCACCCACCCACCCATCCATCCATCCATCCATCCACCCACCCACACATCCATCCATCCATCCATCCATCCATCCATCCATCCATCCATCTATCCATCCATTTTCCATCCATCTTCATCCGCTTATACGGAGTCGGGTAGCGGGGGCAGTAGCCTAAGGTGAGAGGCTCAGACTTCCCTCTCCCCAGCCACTTGGGCCAGCTCCTCTGGAGGAACCCCAAGGCGTTCCCTGGCCAGGTGAGAGACATAGTCCCTCTACCGTGTCCTGGGTGACCCTTTAATTCTCCTCCTGGTTAGATGTCCCCGGAACACCTCACCAGGGAGGCGTCCAGGAGGCATCCTGACCAGATGCCCGAGCCACCTCAACTGGCTCCTCTCGATGTGGAGGAGCAGCGGTTCTACTCCGAGCCCCTCCCGGATGACCGAGCTTATCACCCTATCTCTAAGGGAGAGCCCAGCCACTCTTCAGAGAAAACTCATTTCGGCCGCTTGTATCTGTGATCTCGTTCTTTCGGTCACTACCCAAAGCTCATGACCATAGGTGAGGGTAGGAACGTAGATCAACCGGTAAATCGAGAGCTTCGCCTTCTGACTCAGCTCTCTCTTCACCACGACAGGCCGGTACAACGCCCGCATCACTGCAGATGCAACACCAATCCACCTATCGATCTCACGCTCCAGTTTTCCCTCACTTGTGAACAAGACCCTGAGATAGTTAAACTCCTCCACTTGGGGCAGGACCTCATCCCTGACCCGGAGAAGGCATTCCACCCTTTTCCGAATCAAGACCATGGTCTCAGATTTAGAGGAGCTGATTCTCATCCCAGCTGCTTCACACTCGGCTGAGAACTGCTCCAGCGAAAGCTGGAGATCACGTTCTGATGAAGCCAACAGAACGTCTAGAAATCGAAAAATATAAATAAATGTTTTAGTTAACTTTAGAAAATAGACTTTATTTTTATAGCATCATTGAAACAGGACAGCCTCAGACTCGATCATGTGTTCCTGGTTAGCAGAACTTTCTCAACAGTTGTGTAAACAGCATCTTTTGTGTTTTTTGTTCTATATTTGAATGAAATAAATATTTTCCTCATAATTCTGTTTTAGTACTTCACATTCTGAACTCATCCTGATCTCTCTGTGACGAAGAAACCCAGAGTGTAATAAAAGCTGCTGACTGACCCGACATCATTGTGACCTGGTAAAACTTTGAAAAGTCCAGGGGCCATTTCTTCAGAGCGATGTCGACCAGCTCTCCTTTCACCTGCTGAGCTGTCATGTCCCCGTTCAAGTAGGTTTTCTGCAAGAACAAGTTCCTTAAACTGAAATGGTTCTGGATCAGGCTGAACCTTACTCAGAGCCACGGTCCGACGGAGACACGGATCTGTTAAAGGTAGGCTGGCGCCTCAGAATGGACACGTGTTCATGAAGCAGCTCGTTCACCTGAGAGAGCGCAGATGTGATCAGCTGGATCCATTTGGTCATAGATTTACTCTCGATGCTGGTGGTGGGGATGCACTCCAGAACCACACTCTCCACGTCGTCTCTGTTCAGCTCGGACCCAAACCGGATGAAGTGGTGCATCGCAGCCAGCTGGACATACTCATCCTCCTGCAGGATGTAGAGCAGACAGCCTCCACTCAGTTAGTTTCTAATTCAGACTTCATGTTTTTTATTTTTACTTTTACGTCTCCGCGCTGTCTTCACTGTGAAGCACTTTATGACTTTTATCCCAGATGAAGAAACATTAATCATTTATTTACCAAAACATTTCATCACCAGAAAGATTTTTTTTTTAATTTATTTAGGACCATGCATGTTAATGAACATAAATGTAAAAGCAGCTTACATGAATGTAAACATGCCAGATTATAGCCAACGGCTAATTTCCATCTGTTGTCCTTAGACATAAAAAGACATAACAATTCATAAAAAAATCATCATTCATTCATAATAAAAACTCCATCACCAAACTTACACATACACACCATTCTACTCACAAATAAAACATTAAAACTACAACTCATACATGATCACACACTTGATTTGTCCATAACCAGTTTTTAACCGTTGCCTTAAAGAGCAAGTCACCCCCTACCAGAGTCTAACTCCACTCCCACTTCATGTTTGAAAAATGCAACAAATGACGTTGCCTAGCAGACCGAGAGGGCAGAGCCGCTAACAAATACACACACACACACACACAGGTTCACGACAGCATTGTGACATCATAATGTACCAGTTTACATCATAGCATACTACTTAGCCAATAGCGGTGGCAGTTTTAAATTCAAATACAGTGCAGAGTTTTGACCTGACAACGGCACAACACTGCCAGTTTTAAGCAGAATCATTAAATTTTAACTAAGATGCACTAAAGTGCCAAATTATTGACGACACGTGTCTGCAGCACGATTAGACACTCGTTTATTTAGTTTATCAGCAAAAAAAAGTTGATTTGGGGGTGACTTGCTCTTTAAACAAATTGAAAGTCGAGCATTCTCTAATGGGTTGAGGAAGACTGTTCCACAGATGGCCACCCTTGACAGAGAGGACGTTCTGCCCAAATGCTGCCCGTCTATGTGGTATAAACAATTCTCCTCGAATTGTAGCTCGTGTAGTCCTGTGTGAGCTTTCTTTATGCCTAATGAACTGCTTTAGTGGCGGTGGAGCAAGGGAGTGTAAGACTTTATATATTAAACAGACTCTTTTAAGTTTCATGAAGTTATTGAAGTTCAGTAATTTATGTTTTTTTAACACATGACGGGGCGGTGGGAAGTCGGTTTTTTGTCAAGTAATTTTAAACTTCTTTTATGAATGTTTTCAATAGTTTTAAGTGTTGTTGGACAAGCAAGTGACAAGGATGTCAAACAATAGTCCATATTCAATTCAATTCAATTCAAGTTTATTTATATGGCGCCAAATCACGACAAGAGTCGTCTCAAGGCACTTCACATAATAAACATTCCAATTCAGGTCAGTTCATTAAGCCAATCAGAAATAATGTTTCCTATATAAGGAACCCAGCAAATTGCATCAAGTCACTGACTAGTGACAGTGACTTTACAGCAATCCTCATACTAAGCAAGCATGCAGCGACAGTGGAGAGGAAAACTCCCTTTTGACAGGAAGAAACCTCCAGAGAATCCTGGCTCAGTATAAGCGGCCATCCTGCACGACTCACTGGGGATCGAGAAGACAGAGCACACACACACACACACACACACACACACACACACACACGCACGCACGCACGCACACACGCACGCACGCGCGCGCGCGCACGCACGCACGCACGCACACACACACACACACACACACACACACACACACACACACACGCACACGCACGCGCATGCACACACACACAAAGACAAGTAATGTGTCTATAGTTATATTGTGATGTCTTAGTAACTATTCTATTTGGTGAGAGATAAACTTATCCTAGTGGATCTATAATTAAACGGATAAACTAGATGAGAGATGATCATTGAGTAAAAATAAGTTTTTGCAACATTCGTATTTAGATTATTACGTATATGAATAAAATTTTGATGATTAAATTTAACTTTATTTATATGACTCTTGAAGGACAATGTTGGGCTGTTAAAGCCATGGCGTGTGTGTTTCAGTAGAATGGTGTTTTTCCATCCTTTACCTTGTCACTGACGTATTCTCCAGACTTGATTCCTGTGATGACCTGCCTGTAAATCAGATCTGTACCAACGGGGTCCAGCGAGCAGTCGTGCCACGGCGTGAACAACTCCTTGCGGATGGACAGGTGCCACGGGGTGTCCCTCTCCTCCCGACCCTGTCTCCTCATCTCCTGCTCGCATTGAGACACCGCGTCCATCACATGCTTCCCACAGCTGCTCAGAGACCACAACTGAAGACAAAATAAGAACATCTGGTTAAATTATGTCCTAAAGAAAACCAGAGCAGGTGGACGGAGGAGGCTGTCGCCCACCTTCTCATAGAAGCTGATGTAGAGGGAGAAGCCGTAGGTTTCTCGGAGTCCAATCTTGTCCGCCACAGCTTGGCAGACTTCAGCAGACGTGGAGGCCGAATCCAGCTGAACACCGACTGACTCGCCGTTCGTTAGTGTCACAGAAACATCTGTGAGCTCCTTCTTCCCAGCAGCCTGAAAGTGTCGATAACGAATCAAGAACGCATTTTAATCACCCGTTTTAAAAACAAATAAAGAAGAAACTTTGCAGCAAAAACAAACAAAACAAACCATGTCAGAGCAGACTGGAACTGTGTTTTTCTTTACCTGCAGTTCGATCCAGCAGGGCAACTCTTTTCTCTCCCCGTTGGCTAGGACTCGACGCAGGAGCCTGCTGCAGAAGTCACTGTAACCTTTTTGGCCTCTGCAAAGAAAATTCTCCAGATACTGTGGAACAAAGACGTGCAGTCAATTAAGCCCCACAGGTTCAGAAAACAACTTCATCTGCTCTACGAGACCATCTCTAATGTTTTACAACCAGCCTGCTACCGTGCAATCATAATAATGCTGAAAAGGACACTTCCCAGAATGCATTGGGACAGCCCAGCAGTCGTTCTGGCTGTAATGGCGGTCTGATGTTTAAAAACAGAACTAACTCAGTTCTTGGAGCAGTTTACCGAGCACGACACTAAGACACGACGTCTGAACTTCTCAGTGAATCAGTTTGATGCTGACATCCAACAGTGAGCCTCAGCTCACACACTCACTGTCTATTTTCTATCAGCGGCTAATGCTGGAATAGGGGTAGGAGACTATTTTCACATTCAGCCTGCATGTTAAACTCTGACGGATTATAATTCAAAAATAACAACTAAAAACTGTTTCTTAGAGAACGTGGTCTTTAAAAAATAAGACATTTGAATACAGTTTTCAAACGTTGCAGCCGATGAAACGGAGACTGACTGCTGTACTTTACTGGAAGCCTTCATCCATGTCTGTATATAACACTAATCTGGATTCTAATAAACTGGTGGACAGTAAACAAAGTCCTTAGTGAGAGACGGACCCTCTGGAAGTGTTCTGATGGTGGGAAGAGCCCCAGCCAGATGGACAGGAGAGTCCAGCCTTGAATGCAGCTCCGCCTGTTCTTGTTGTTCACCAGCTGCTTACAGATCTGACAGTAGATCTCGTCTCTGCAGAGTCAAACAAATGTGGGGCAAAGTTTAAAAAAAGCCAAATATCTCATCTCCACAGCCTGAATGTTGCTGCTTTCTTTTGAGAGATTTTTTTTTTACCGAATGCCTCGTCTTTCCAGGCCGTATCCAACAATATAGTGTAACTTTTGCAGGGATGTGAGAGGTCGATCCAGCGTGGGACCCTCTCCAACCAAAATGTCCTCCTCCTCCTCAATGAAGTCCTCTGACTGGTAAAGACGAAAAACAACCATCATCTGTTAAGAATCAGGCTTGAAATAATGACCCGACTAGTGATGCGTCGGTCGCGAACGAACCGGCTCTAAGAGCCGGCTCTTTGAAGTGAACGACGGGAGCTGGCTCGTCATTGGGAGCCGTCCCCTCCCCTCCCCCTCCCCTCTTGCTTTGGTGAAAGCTACAGGCGATTGGTCAACATGTGTAACTGCGTGTCCAGACTGTCCACACACAGAGCAGTAGGGGCGGGGAAGAGGGAGGATCAGACTCAGACACACAGCAGAGCACATGCGGGAGGAGGGAGACGAGAGGGAATAAGGGGGAGGAAAAAGGCGAGCGAGAGAGAGGAGAGTGCGACGAAGACGGTGAGAAAATGAGCGCCAGCAGTCGGAAAGTGGAGATTTCTTAAAGTGTTCAGTTATTAAATCCATAGAAATGATAAATATTTGATATGTAGCATTTTTTTTACATTAGTAAATTATATTACATATGGTTTAGCATTATTTTGGTTATAAATGTACTCTACGCAACAGAAAATCTGAGGAGCCACTTGGGAGCCGAAAGAGCCGGCTCTCTAAAAAGAGCCGTAATTCCCATCACTAGACCCAACACCAAACGTTGTATTCACCTCCTCAGGAATGGCTGAAGCTCTTCTGTTTCCTGTGCTGTGTTTCTTCTTATTCTTCCTCAGTATTTTCTGTTCACAAACACAGATGATGATCAGACCTCAGGAGGTGACTCTGAATCGACAGGACTGTGGAGTTGTTTTAATTCTGTGTTTACCATGTCCAGTCCCACTATGCTGCTGAGCCTCCGGCCATGCTTCTGAGGCAGGAGACGGGATAAGGTGCTCTGGGACGTGGTGCTCTGGGACATGGTGCTTGACAGCTGCGATATTGAGTCAGCTGATTTTGGCTCTGGCAAGTCCCCCATGAAACGCAAAATAATCCACCACACCGACAAACTCGCCTGTGGAAACGAGAGGAGATACTGAACATGAGGCAGAGATCTTGGACGTAGAGCTGAACATCTCGTCTGCGAGTCCTCTCACCAGAGCGTCCCCCTCGTCCTCATGCAGCAGGAGGGACTGCCTCAGTCTCTGGGGTGTGTGGTCGTGGCTGACATTGTTCTGGAAGTACTTTTTGCTGTAATTGTAGAAGGAAAACGGGTCACTCTCAGCGTTGGAACTGTCGTAGAAGACCTCATCCTCCTGACCCAGGCTGGGCATTTCTTCTGGTGAAGGTGTTGGGGTTCTTGGTGGAGAGGCTGGAGTAATGACGATTTCCATCCTTGGTTCTGGTTTCTCTGAGATTTTCTCCACTGGTTCTTTAAACACCTTTTTAGACGAACCAGAAGTTATAAGATGTCCTTTCTAAACTTAAAGCAATGATAAAAACCCTACCTTGACCCTTGGAGGGTTTTGTTCAGCACTTTGTTCCTCCTCCTCCTCCTTCAGTGACTCCTCCTTCAGTGACTCCTCCTTCTCCGACTCCTCCATATGGATGAGCTCCTGATACTCCACCTCTTCTGAGTCCTGTTCATAGGCGTTCTCTGGTGCTGCTATGGTTTGCTCTGCAACAACCTGTAGCAGTCGCTGCTGGAGTTCCGTAGCGATCTGGCCCTGGAGGAGGACCTGCGCTGCGATCTGTTGCCTCCGTCTCTTATAGTCACTCCTCACCATGAAGCCTCGCACCTGCAGCCAGAGGATCAGAAAAGAGGTAAACATCTAAAACCCTGTTAATGTAGGATATGTCGTCGTCTTCGTCTTCCACCACTTATCCGGGTCCGGGTCGCGGGGGCAGCATCCCAACTAGGGAGCTCCAGACCGTCCTCTCCCCGGCCACCTCCACCAGCTCCTCCGGCAGGACCCCAAGGCGTTCTCGGACCAGATTGGAGATGTAACCTCTCCAACGTGTCCTGGGTTGACCCGGGGACCTCCTGCCGGCAGGACATGCCCGAAACACCTCCCCAGGGAGGCGTCCAGGAGGCATCCTGACCAGATGCCCAAACTAGAGCCCTGCACTGAAGCCCTAGGCCTGGGGGTCAGCCCGGCCCGACGGCCCGAGGACCGGGCTTCGGGCCAACGACTGTGTAATTACCTCGGACACGGACCGGGCCGGGCGCCTTTATTTTTAATCGAATTTTTCAAAAAAACACAAACACTTGAACGCAGCAGCACCTGCCTGCTTCTCACGCACCAGCACCCGTTAGCTCAGTTAAGGTCTGTGTGGTTTACAAATGCGCCTATATAAACGAATTCTCAAACTGCTGATTGAAACATCTGCCCCTATTCTAATATGTCATTTTATGTCCACTTTGATATGTCAGAAACCATTCGTTTATTCTCATGAAAACGGCAGCATTCTATTTTTCTGTGAATAAATTCGCTCTGCCGTTAAAAAAATACAGCATTCATTGCTGTTTTTTTCTAACTGCAGAGCGCATTTTCAGAGCGGCAGATAAAATTTACAAACGCAATATTAATTGGGGGCGTTTATTTAATCTACCGCTCTGAAAATGCGCTCTGCAGTTAGAAAATTAGAATGCTGCTTTTTTTTCTAATTGCACAAGAGCGCGTTTTCAGAGCAGATTACATTTACAAATGCATCCAATTAATATAGCTTTCGTAAATTTCATCTGCCGCTCGAAAAATACGCTCTGTTAGAGAAAAAAGCTGCATTGATGCCGTTTTTCTTCCTTGTCTTTCTTTTTTTCTTTCCTTCTTTTTTTTTTAACTGCAGAACGCTTCCCACAGATAATTAGAATGCTGAGCATTCTATCACGCTAAAACATTATGAAAGGTTAGAAAAAAAAGTCAGGCTCGGGCTCGGGGTCGGGCCAGAGAATCCTGAAAACCTTTTAGGACCGGGTCGGGCTGGGGCTCCACCTCCTCGGGCCGGGCCGGTCACGGGCTCAGATTTTAGGCCCGTGCAGGGCTCTAGCCCAAACCACCTCAACTGACTCCTTTCGATCCGGAGGAGCAGCGGTTCTACTCTTGGTCCCTCCCGAATGTCCGAGCTCCTCACCCTATCTCTAAGGCTGAGCCCGGCCACCCTACGGAGGAAACTCATTACGGCCGCTTGTATCCGCGATCTCGTTCTTTTGGTCATTACCCAAAGCTCATGACCATAGGTGAGGATTGGGACGTAGATCGACCGGTAAATCGAGAGCCTGGCTTTCTTGCTCAGCTCCCTCTTCACCACGACAGATCGGCTCAGCGACCGCATCACTGCAGATGCTGAACCAATCCGCCTGTTGATCTCTCGATCCCTCCTACCCTCACTTGTGAACAAGACCCCGAGATACTTAAACTCCTCCACTTGAGGTAGGACCTCTCTCCCGACCCAGAATTGGCAAGCCACCCTTTTCCGGTCGAGAACCATGGTCTCAGACTTGGAGGTGCTGATCCTCATTCCAGCCGCTTCACACTTGGCCGTGAACCTACCCAGCAAGAGCTGAAGATCAGAGCTGGATGAAGCTAGGAGGACCACATCATCCGCAAAAAGCAGAGATGAGATTCTCCTGCCACCAAACTCGACACACTCCACACCACGGCTGCGTCTAGAAATTCTGTCCATAAAGGTAATGAACAGAACCGGTGACAAAGGGCAGCCCTGGCGGAGTCCAACCCTCACAGGGAACAGGTCCGACTTACTACCGGCTATGCGGACCAAACTCACGCTCCTCTGGTAAAGGGACTGAATGGCCCTTAACAGAAAGCCACCCACCCCATACTCCTGGAGCGTCCCCCACAGGGTGCCCCTGGGGACACGGTCATAAGCCTTCTCCAAATCCACAAAACACATGTGGATTGGTTGGGCAAACTCCCATGCCCCCTCCATCACCCTTGCAAGGGTATAGAGCTGGTCCACAGTTCCACGGCCAGGACGAAAACCACATTGCTCCTCCTCAATCTGAGATTCAACTATCGATCGGACCCTCCTCTCCAGTACCTTGGAGTAGACCTTTCTAGGGAGGCTGAGGAGTGTGATCCCCTATAGTTGGAACACACCCTCAGGTCACCCTTATTAACGATGGGGACCACCACCCCGGTCTGCCACTCCACAGGAACTGCCCCGATGACCACGCAATGTTGCAGAGACGTGTCAACCATGACAGCCCTACAACATCCATAGCCTTGAGATACCCAGGACGAACCTCATCCGCCCCAGGGGCTCGGCCGCTGTGTAGGTGTTTGACTACCTCAGCAACTTCTGCCCCAGAGATTGGACAGTCCATCCCCAGGTCTCCCGGCTCTGGTTCCTCCTCGGAATGCACATAGGTGGGATTGAGGAGCTCCTCAAAGTATTCCTTCCACCATCCGACTATAGCCCCAATTGACGTCAGCAGCTCCCCATCCCCACTGCAAACAGTGTGAGCGAGTTGCTGCCTTCCTCTCCTGAGGCGTCGGACAGTTTGCCAGAACCTCTTTGGAGCCGATCGATAGTCTTTCTCCATGGCCTCCCCAAACTCCTCCCACGCCCGAGATTTTGTCTCGGCAACTGCCACTGCTGCACCCCGCTTGGCTATCCGGTACCAGTCTGCTGCCTCCGGAGACCCACAGACCAGCCGCGCCCTGTAGGCCTCCTTCTTCAGCCTGACGGCTCCCCGAAACTCTGGTGTCCACCAGCGGGTACGGGGGTTGCCACCACGGCTGGCACCGGCCACCTTGTGACCACAGCTAGCAACAGCCGCCTCAACAATCACAGAGTGGAACAAGGCTCACTTGAAGTCAATGTCCCCCACTGCTCTTGGAACGTGGTCAAAGCTCTGCCGGAGCTGTGCTTGGGTCTGCCAGGTCTACGCGGCATCTTCCCCTGCCATCTGATCCAACTCTCCACCAGGTGGTGATCAGTTCACAGCTTCGCTCCTCTCTTCACTCGGGTGTCCAAAACATACGGCCGTAGGTCAGATGATACGACTACAAAGTCTATCATCGACCTGCGACCTAGGCTGCCCTGGTACCAAGTGTACCGCTGGGCATCCTTTTGTTCAAACATGGTGTTCGTTATGGCCAAACTGCGACTTGCCCAGAAGTCCAATAACGAAACACCACTTGAGTTCAGATCAGGCGGGCCGTTCCTCCCAGTCACACCCCTCCCGGTCAAGCTGTCATTGCCCACATGAGCATTGAAGCCCCCAGCAGGACAATGGAGTCCCCTGATGGAGCACTATCTAGCACTCGTCCCAGGGACTCCAAAAAGGGTGGGTACTCTGAACTGATGTTTGGCCCATAAGCACAAACAACAGTCAGGACCCGTTCCCCGACCCGAAGGCGCAGGGAAGCTACCCTCTCGTCCCCCGGGGTAAACCCCAACACACTGGCAGAGAGTCTTGGGGCTAACAAAAAGCCAACCCCAGCCCTCCGCCTCTCACCCAGAGCAACTCCAGCAAAGGAGAGTGTCCAACCCCTCTCAAGGACTTGGGTTCCAGAGCCAATGCTATGTGTCGAGGTGAGTCCGACTATATCTAGCCGGTACCGCTCAACTTCTGCCACAAGCTCCTGCTCCTTCCCCGCCAGCGAGGTGACGTTCCATGTCCCAAAAACCAGTTTTCTTGTCCGGAGATCGGACCGCCAAGGCTCCCGCCTTGGTCTGCCACCCGATCCACATTTCACCGGACCCTTCATGTTCTTCCTGCTGGTGGTGGGTCCACAGCTGGATGAGCCCAAGTATCCGGTTTGGGCTGGGCCCGGCCGGGCCCCATGGGCGAAAGCCCGGCCACCAGGCGCTCGCTCACGGGCCCCAACCCCAGGCCTGGCTCCAGAGTGGGACCCCGGTAACCCTCCGGGCCGGGTACTCCGACTCGTTGAATTTACTGCCATGAAAGATCCTGTGAACGATAGGATCTGGATTTCCCAAAACCCTCATATGAGGGAGCTGAAGTTCACGGAGACCTGGCTTTAACTTAAAATGTTTATTATGTATTTTTGAATAAAGAAAAACATTGAACACAGAATTCTTTAAACATTTAAACTGCTAACAGTTCTAAAACAATGTTTTTTATTCATTTATGATGCCTGACTAATCCCAAATAGACATGAGAAAAAATACATAAAGAAACATTTGGGTCTCAGGCAGTTAAATGTGTGTAAATCATGAGGAATAAAATGACAGCATCACATATTTTCAATTAAATACCAAGTTCACTATATTTTTAACCCATTTGAAGTGGTCTCTCGTATAAATTAATGTCTTGGGAGTCAATCTCTGTTTGGAAAAAAGCTTCAGAAGGCAGGCTTTGGAGTTTTATTTCCTGATATTCAACCATCTCGCCTCTGATTGGCTAACAGCAACGTGACTCTACTACTATTTGTTTTGCGGTGTTTCATGGCTAATGTAAAAAACAGAGGTACAAGTCTATTTTTACATTTAGTCTGCATGTTAAACTCAGAGTGACCAATCATATTTAAAAAGATAACAAGTATGTTTCCCAGTGAACTTGGTCTTTAAAAAAAAAGAATGGATGCTGAGTTAAAGATGTCACATGCCTGTTTCTGGATGGTGATCGCTGCGGCTCGCTGTCTGTAGAAATGAGACTGGAGTGTTCGACTTCGGACCTGTGACACCAGACGTGTGAAACCCTGCTGAACCTGCATGGATAAGGAGAAGAATAGTACCTTCTCAGTGGCCTAGTGGTAGAGTGTCCACCCCGAGACCGGGAGATCAGGGTTCAATTCCCGGTCGGGCCATACTAAGGACTTAAATAATGGGACCTAATGCCTCCCTGCTTGACACTCAGATTTAAGGGGTTGGATTGTGGGGTTAAACACACCAAATAGTGCCTGAGTGTGGCCACAGCTGTAGCTAACTGCTCCCCACGGGCATGGGTCAAACCAGTGTGTGATGACTAATGGGACTTTAACTTGAAACGAGTCTCCTAAAACCATACAGGTGAAATGATCACTTCACATATCACACCTTTCTCTGCTGAATCCTCTCACTGTGACCTCTCCAGTGTTTCTGCAACACCACAGCTGCTCTTCGCTTCTTTAGGAAAGACTTTCTGCAAAGCAAACCAACTGAATGAATACACAATTTCCTCAGTCACAACCTCTTTGTGTCTCTTTATGGAAAACGCCCAAGTGATGCAGGTATCACAATAAGTGATATGCACATCTGTTGCTGCTCATCCAGATCTCTTTTTTTCCATGTTGCTCGTCCTACTGCACCTGTCTCTGTGTCCCAGCATGACCCTCTGGATCACCACGGCAACCCTGCTCAGTTCCTCTTCCCGCAGACGCTCCAGAACAACATCATGTGCATCCTGGTTGAAATAGAAAAAAAAAGATATTTCAACGAATACCAGTTTCTTTACTGATAACAGTCCAGCCGTAATTATCAACATTCGCCATCGTTGTTTTTTTAAATTTTCTGTGCATTTTCACACCTTCAGGAAAATTTGGTTCCTGCCTATTTTCCACTCATCCCGTCCTTTAATCACAGCCTTGCAGATGGCTTCACAACAGGCTGCAGCTTTGCTCTGTGGTGGTGGGAAAAGATTTTTGACATTAGGTTCCTAAAGCATCACCCAACTCCAAAATTCTAAAACAAGAGTAATAATCACTGCAATGTCTGGGCGTAAATGAAATCGTGACTTAACGGTTGTGGGGTCACAGACGGTCGTCTTCAGGAGGACTCGGTAGCGGTTCAGAAAATCCTCAAAGGTGTGTCGCACAGGATACCCAAGCTTCCTGATTCTGATGGTGTCCATCATGCCGGAGTATCTCAGCTGACGCAAGCACAGCTCTCTGTCAAACATCTGGAGAAAAAAACAGCAGTTTTATCGGTTTTTGCGTTGCAACACTGTTTTAGGGCATCAGATTTGTTTATTTTCCCTACAGTGACATAAGATGATGCCACAGCCTAATTATACTCAATGCTAACAGCAGTTGTTAAATTTAGGAATGCTAACATGCGTTCAAGCACAAAAGCACTAAACATCCCACTTCTGCAAACTGAGACAATACAAAGACTACGAGGGAAATTTGAGCCACTTAATGAGATTGCGGTTTCAGAGCATTGTCAAATGTGGAGTTCCTCAAGGCTCCGTTCTTGGAATACTTTTATTTATTATCTATATGCTGCCTCTAGCTTTGCTTATACTTTATTATAACAGTTGTTATCAGTCATATGCTGATGACACTCTATATTTTGTGTCACCCCATTAGAGTCTTTGAAGGTCACTAAATAATATTCTCAAGTGCAACTCAGAAAAGAGCAATTGTTTTTAGTTTAAAACTAGAGATCAGCACTCAACTAAACTCAACACCAGCCTGACAATCACATTGAGTGTAATCAGGGATAAAACCTGAGTAAAAAGCAGCCTACAAGGATCCTAAACCATGGCCAGAATTAAGCGTTTCCTTTCTAAACAGGACAGAGAACGCATTTCTAAGCCTTTTTCCACTCACCGGTTCTGATTATTGCATTTTTACAGTATAAGGAATTCAGTCCAGCAGCTGCAGCTCATTCAAAATCTTGCAGCCAGAATCTCAACCAACCCTAAAAAATGGAACATATTTAACCAGCTCCTAAGTTACTAGAGAGCACTGGATCCCATTAATCCATTCAAACAGCTTCATCCTCACTGGAGTCACAGGGAGCTGGTGCCTAGCTCCAGCATTCATCGGGGGAGAGCAGGATGACAGGTCGCTAGTCCTTCACTAGGACACACAGACACAACCATCTACACTTGGGGACAACTTAAGCTGGGCTGTGGTCTGCAGTTACTGTGACTGGAGTTTATATGCTGCTGGAGGTGTGGCCTGCTCATTACATCTTATCAGAAGCTTTTCTCAGAACCAACCATCTCTCCCTAACCTTTTTTAAGGTTTACACAGAAAGAGACATGGCTTAGACTTTTTGGTGTGCCACATTTGACCGCCAAACTGCATTTATCCAACAACAATGTGGCTTTACATTTTACTGCCTGTTTAAAAAAAGATAAAAGAAGAACCACAGTTCCTGCTCTCACATTGTACTCTAGATTGTGTGTTAGTAGCTTCATTTGTTTATAGCTTGTGACAGCAAGGGCTCATTACTTCTTCACTTTGAAGCCTGATGTGGGAGGAGACAGGAGGAGAGAGCAACAAAGGCAGAGAGAGGAGGTTGTTTCACTGCTACATCCTGGTTATTCTGTTTGCTCACAGTGAAGCGAAGCATCCAAAAGCACAGACGTCACTATTTATGCATGGAGTTAACTTCAGCCTGAGTCTACGTGTCAGCTGGAGACAGAAAGCCTCAGGCCATCTGTGCTGCAGCGAGGCCTTGCTCACCTCAGACTGCTTGTCATTGTTGGGTTTGAAGCAGCGGATGAAGAAAGGCTGGCAGGCTGACAGAGCCTTCATGAGGGTATCCAGAGACAGACGAAACTGACCGCTCAGAGTTGGCACTTGTTTACGGTTGTCAGGCTGACCCTACAGAGATGACAGACAGGCAAGCAGACAGACAGACAGGCAGGAGAAACAACTCGTGATGTGCTCCAGCAGCTATACAGAAGAATAGCAAATAAATCTGATCTGATCACAAAACAATGCAGCTTATTTAAAAACACAAATCCATTAATTACGAGAACATGGACAGTAGTATCAGCTCTTTTTTGTATAACAGAAAATATCTGCTCTGATGTTTTAGAATCATCTCCTGCATGTTTATAGTATTTCACCAGGTCTGAATTAAATATCAAAGAACAATTTGTGACATGGCAACACGTACTTTTACCTGACACAAAGTTATTTTATCTTCAATCATTTTTTGTTTCTTGTTTATCTTTAGATTATGTGAAAAGTAAACATTTAAAGGAAATGGTTGTTTGGTTGAAAACCAAACAAGAAAAATAATTAAATAAAAAGTTTAATTTAGAAATTAGTCCTACCAAATCTGTTTTGGCCTTAAAGGGACTTTACGAGGTTTTGAATTTTTATGCTCGCGATTGCCCCCTCAGGCCAAAAGTGTAACGGCAGCTTCAATAGTAGGCTCGTGCACGAGGCGCGCATGCTGTATGTGCACACTCCTTAACTAAAATAACAGCTGAGACAGTCAGCTCCGTGTGTGTGTGTGTGGCCCGGAGGACAGAGGACAGGAGAAGGTGCAGCTAATTAATTAAATAATTTGGTTCTGTACCTTTCTCTTCAGCACAGCCGACAAAGGCTTAAGATGGGTCAGTCCTCCTGCATGCTCAGATCATTCTCTTCCCTTGCTTGAAAAATTGTTCCAAAATGAAAGTTGAACCCACATCTTTTTTATCTGTGAATTCAATGCCGTTCGGCGAGTCTCAAATAAAAATTTGGGCATCTTACTGTAAAAAAATATACCTTTAATGTAAAAAAGAAACTCTAAATAAACTATGTTCACATCCAGAATTGAACCCAGGTCTTCTGCATGGGAGTCAGACTTCTTACTAGGTGAGCTAAAGCGCCAGTGACATAATTGTATCTGTAACTTTTATATCCTTGATGACAGCTGAAACAACGCTCAAAGAACGGTTCGGCGGGCGATGCCTGAGCGTGAACGCGCATGAAGCAGCCTGCTCGACCCGAGCATCTCTCTTTTTCTGTGATTTTACAGAAAAACAGGCAATCACAGTAAAAATGCCAGGGCTCATTCTACAGGACCAGGGCATTGCAGGAGAATGTATGAAGAAGAAATTTATTATTTCTATACAGGTTTTGGCTGTCAAACTTCCATAATGCCCCTTTAAACAAGTAATTTATAAATCTGTCTATCTTACAGAAAAACAAAAAGAGCATGACGAGTTTAATCTATTTAACCCATTAACAGGAAACTAGAACGTTCCTTTTAAGTAGCAGCTGTAAATAGAAAAACACATTTCTAGTGCTTGGTACAAAATAAGATCAATAACACTTCGACAACCTCGTCCTTCCTCAGATGTGCATTCATACCCGCAGAGAGCTGATGGGCGTCATGATGAACCTGGCGTTTTTAGCATTCTTCACTCCGTTGGTAGAAAGCTCATTCTCAAAAATCAGACGCAGCAGCTTACTGCTGGACATGTCGATCATCTTGATGATGTCAGAACTGACCGCGTCTCTGTTCTTCTCAAGGAATCCTTAGAAAGAGAAAACCAACAATGCATGGCCTGGCACCTCACACCAGTTAAGATCTGACCTGACTGCAGGTTGTTCTCATACCGTTGGTGTCGTAGTAAACCGGACCCGCAAAGTGGCAAATTCCAAAACGAGATTCGTGTTCGCTTAGAGACTTAACGTAGATCTTGTTTCTTTTGTGCATGTCGTTCATCTTGGTGAGCAGAGTGTGGTCTGACCCCTGAAGCACAACAAAAGGAGAGAGAACTTGAAGAATTGCTAGGCTTATGCAGAAGGAAACCACTAAATCAGAAACCAAAAAACAACTCAGATGTGATGATTTACGAAGCACGGCAGTAGAACCTTAGGAAACTGAGTCTCCTCATCAATCAGAGCCAGCAGGTTACAGGGTTTCCCAGCCAGAAGATCCAGGATCTTCTGATTGTCACTGAACTTGATGTTGTCCCACACAACTCCCTCTTTCCGGTACTCCTCTTGCTCAAGCTTGAAGATGTGGATCACAAAAAACTGTTGCAGCTTCTCGTTAGCAAAATTAATGCAAAGCTGCTCGAAACTGTAGCAAATCGAAAGAAAGGTAAAACGGTAAAAACAATGAAGAATGGGACGATAAAGGACCGGTGACACGAGAAAGGGATTCTTCTCCCGACCTGTTTGTTTTGAAGTTCTCAAAACCAAAGATGTCAAGCAGGCCGACGGACAGGTAGGAGGACTTGGGTTGACCGTGCTGCTTCTGATGGATGACACTGTTGATTTTACCAACGATCCAAATGAAGAGCTTGTTGTAGATCGCCTGCAAGGACAACGCACGTTCTCAAGAGCTCTTTGTACAACAACGATCCAAATAAAAACAGCAGGATAGAAATAAAATCTGCTGTACACCATGCTGCTTTATTTCTAGAGCGCTTCAACACTGCACTACAACCAACCAAACCCACCTTGACAACAGCGTTTCTACAGTTGGTGGCCTGATCAGAGCTCAGAGGTTTGGTCACCCTTTCTCTGTTGGTCATGAAGGAGCGATGTGTCAAACTTGTGGCCAGGGCAGAATTCTGGACCTGAAAATCAAACACACACGGTTTAAGAAACAAAAAAAAGACTGGTAAATTCAGCATAGAGCCAAAGTAATTTCAAACACCTACCTCCAACAGCGACGCAGCGATGCCAAAATGCTCGGATTTGGCCACATCGCTGGTTTCCAAGTTATCTTTGGTAGAAGCTAGTTTAAATGACACGGGAAGACACAACCGATTATTATAAAGAGCTTAAAACACAACTTCATCCCCAAATCAGCCTTTTTTGGCTGATAAACTATATAAATGAGTGTCTAATCGTGCTGCAGACACATGTAGTCAATAATTTTGCACTTTAGTGCATCTTAGTTAAAATAAAACTTTTCTGCCTGAAACTGTCAGTGATGTGCTGTCGTTTGGTAAAAATTCTACACTGCATTTGAATTTAAATCCGCCATCGCTATTGGCCAACAGGTTCACTATGACTTTAGCTGGTACATTATGATGTCACAATGTCATTGTGAGTCTGTGTTTGTGTGTATTGGTTAGCGGCTCTGCCCTCTCGGTCTGCCAGGCAACAGCATTTGTTGCACTTTTCAAACAGGAAATGGGAGTGGGGTAAGAAACTCTGGTAGGGGGTGACTTGCTCTTTAAGCTTCCAAATTCACGGAACCACCTAATTCTACACAGTTTCTATTTTCATGATGTTTTCAAATCTTGACTTAACAAGTGAGATTGTTTTCATTTCTTTGCCTCGGTTTATCACCGTCAACCTTTGATGGATCAATAAAACCAAGATAAAGCAATGCACCGAGTGAAAATTTATTTTACAACACGTACAACATTCTTAGGCTTCAGAGTTAAATGAAAAATTAGTAAAAAGTGCAAACTTATAAAACGTCTGCTTTTAACGAGCTGCTGCAGAATGGAATCAGAATTCCTGAAGCACTAAGATGTCTTTAGCCTTCTGGTTTAAACGTTTAACTCCGTAATGACTCACCGTCATTGTCGTGTGTTGTTCATCTAAAACTGTCAGATCAGATCAGAACACTTTTAATCGTTTATTTTTCTGTAGTTTTAGCAAAATATCACATGAATGATGGATCTTTCAGAAAGTCTTTCGTGGATATCCGTTTGCGATTTACAAATGACCAGTTCTACAGAATTAAAGCTTGTGGGGGTGCACGAGAGATCGTGTCTCTCGGCTGGCCTGGGAACGCCCTGGGATTCCCTTGGACTTGGCCCAAGTGGCTGGGGAAAGGGAAGTTTGGATTTGACCCAGACTTGGGTGGGCGTGGCTAGCAACTGCCTAATTTTCTTAAAGCGACAGAGCGCCGAAACAAGCTCATTCTGGAAGGTACTGAAAATGTCAAGTATAGAACTGCTTTGTGTGAGATTTTGTACAAAAAAAAACCTTCATGACCAGTGATGGACTGATACTGATCTCAGACTTGTTAATTATACAAAATCAAGTCTGGATTAATTCTCAGTTCTGTGAAACCAATTCATGTCTGCTGCCTTCCTTTGTCTGCATCTGTGTGTGTGTGTGTGTGTGTGTGTGTGTGTGACTTTGTTGCCCCTTGAGGTCGTAAATTTTCTGAGCTGGTTCTGTCCCACGGTTCTGTTGTAACTTCTGAACTTCCTGAGATGGGAGGGGGCAAGAGTGGTGTCCCTTATGTTGGAGAAGGGTCCAGGTGCAAATGAGCTAATGGTGTAAATAAACATATCATGTACTCTTAAAATCGATAAGCCCACTAATAAGTAAGAAGGAGAGAAGATTTACTGTTCCTCCCCAAGGCCGAGAGAGGAAGGAGGCTGAGTAGAAGGAGGGGCAACGTTGGGCCAGGTCACGAGAGGCCAAGGAGAGACGAGATGGGCTGATTCAGGAGAAGAATACAGCCAGCAAAGTCTGCCGAAGAAGATGATGTAATCGCAAGGAGAAGAGGAAACACGTGACCAGACGTTGAGCTCCAGAAGCAGGATGGGGGTGTTGCCATGGAGATGCAACCCTTGAAGAATGTATATATATATATATAGCCATGCCCTGATGCGGGGCTGGGGGGGTGCATGGACATGGCCGGGACATAGAAGTGGGTGCGTGGCTAAATAAGTTCGGGAACCACTAGTATAGACCATAGAACTACTATAACATTTAAGTCATATGTCCTGTTTTAAGTGATTTCTTGCATAATTAAATTATAACATGTGCAGAACAAAGTATTGCTTTGATCTTAATCTAAAACGACTCACCCTCAAAGCGGATGTTCCCCAGGTGTAATATAGCGGCCAGCAGCCTGAGGATCTCCTGGAACTGGGCTTCTGAGAAGGTCAAAATCTTCATAGCCAGTCGGATACGGCCGAAGTCTTTAGCGTCATCTCTGCCCTCACACGTTATCTGACCACCCTGATGGATTTAAACGGTCCAGTTTGCATCAATAGCAACAGGTGAGTAATATCCTCATGCGCCATAGCAACAAGCAGGACTAACCAAGTACCTTAGTGAGGAAGTTATATTCCCTGGAATATCCAAGCCTCAAAGCTTTCCTCTCATCTGCCGTGATTCCTGCCAACATGCAGTAGAATACGTGGTAGTTTCGCTCTTCTAAAGCCTGAGGTTAAAGGAAAAATAGACCAAAGATGTTTTCTACTGGATGGACGAACACAGATGTTGGTGATGTTTCACACAGCATCTGATAAATCCTACGTTCTCATTTCAACAGAGCTGCAACAGATACCGCCTGGGACTTTATTAGTTTATAGTACAGTAATAACAAACAGGCTTTATTTGGAGGGAGCTGCCTCACCTGATGGCAAACGCGAGACTTTTCTAGAAGATACTGCTCCACACGAGCACCTTTGATCACACCCTGTTTGTTGAAGAAAATCTCCACATATTTTCCAAAGCGACTGGAGTTGTCATTGCGGATTGTTTTTGCGTTCCCAAAAGCTGCAAAGCACCAAAATAGTTCCTTTTGTTTTCCTGACACATGGAATGAGGAGGACGAGGAGCTCTATTGTACCTTCTAGGATTGGGTTGGACTCCAGGATCTGCTTCTCGATCTGCTGTTGAGACAGCTCTCCACTGATTGCTGCCAAGTACTGAAGGATTAATTTGGTGCTCTCCGTCTTCCCTGCTCCAGACTCCCCACTGACAGGACAGAGGCAACACTTCAGTGAACGAGCACGCAGAACCAACCGAAAACGATCCTGTTCACCGCAGCGCGTTTGAGGCCCACCTGATGATGCAGCACTGGTTTCTGTGATTGCGCGTCATGTTGGAATAACAGGCTTCAGCGATGGCGAAGATGTGCGGAGGAAGTTCGCCCAGCTTCCGCCCGTGATACAACTTCACCTAAAGACAAAGGCAAACAGATCCCACAACTACAGTCCTTTGTGACGGATGTTGATTTGAATGTGCAGAAACTCACCTGCTCAGCTGAATAAATGGGATAGTCCTGGTATGGATTTACTGCAACCAGAACCGAGCTGATGTAGGTCTAGAAGATAAGAATGCTGTTAACGTCTACATGGAATTCCTGCTGCCAAATAATAAAGATAAACCGCGTTTTTCTAAATCTGCAAAAGGATTAGAACTAAAATCACCGCGTGGTAAAGTGTGAGCCGACACACTGACATAAAGATTTCATAATAACTGAACTTACATTTTGATGAGTGGCATGCAGATATGTTTATAAAGGTGAGGCTGAGTTGTATTTTCTCATAAGTGTGTGTGATCATGTCTTACGTAGATGAAGCCTTGTTTGTGTCTGAGCTGCAGGTTCCGGAGGAGGCCAGCCTCCGTCATGTCCCCGAGCTTGATCATGTCATCCACCCCCTCCACAGATGTCGGGTGCATGATCCTGAGAGAGGCCTCCTCCTGCAGGGACAGACGTCGCTCCTGAAGGGAAAACAAACACTCAGAATAAAAGAAATCCACCACACCAACACAGGGATTGATTGACAGTGCTGTGAAAAGTATTTGCCTCATTATGGATTTCTTTTGTTTCTGCTTTGTTTCTGTTTCAGATCAGCTAAAAAAACCTTTACTTTGATAGCCGAGTTCAGCTCTAGCGGGCCTGATTTCTGCCGGATCAGTAGATACAATCCTCCCGACAACAGGTGGGCTAAAAGATGATTACAGATCTTACGAATATGAACAAAAGAACCAATCTAAAGCACTTTGTGGGGTGACGATGGCACAGGAGTTAAGTGCTCGCCCCGTAAGGAAGGTTGCAGGTTCGAGCCCCGCTCAGTTTGTCGCAGTTGTTTTGTCCTTGGGCAAGACACTTTACCCATCTTACCTGCTAGTGGTGGTCGGAGGGACCGGTGGTGCCAGTGCTAGGCAGCCTCAGTGCCCCCACAGGGCAGCTGTGGCTACATCGTAGCTCATCCCCACCAGGGTGTGAATCAGTGAATGACCGATTGCATTGTAAAGCACACCAGGAGGGGGGGGGGGGGGGGGGGGGGGGGGGTGTTCCAGGACTCTAGAAGGCGCTATATCAAATACAGGCCATTTACCATTTCACTTTAAGTCAGAGTAAACACTGGAGTGTGTGTGGTGATGGTGGGTTTCCAAAATGGCCCCCATGGATTCAGAGCCAAAAAGTCTACAAAGGTCCATCTCATGTCTCACCTTGACCAACAGGGGTGTGTCCAGGGAGAGGCCTGGGGTAGCACTTGCCACCCTTGGAATCTGATTGGCCACCCCAGGCACCACCTCACTAATTTACCTGTAAACAGGTTTTTCATTGTCCAAAAAAGGTTTAGGGCTAAAACAAAAATAGCATAACCATTGGTGCCACCCATGCACAAAGTTGTGCCTCACCTGGGCCACCCCATTTTAAAAGATCTGGACACGCCACTGTTGACCAAAGAGCATCAGATCATTTCCCACATGGAAGCAGGTGAGTTACTGCTTTCTCTTAATGAATGAAACCGCTGTCCTAAATCTACATTTTCTACTTACTCAGATTTTCTCTCACATCAAACTCTGCTGATCTGAAACATTTAAGCGTGAAAAAAAGAAGCAAAAACTAAAGAAATCTGTTGAAAGCCAGATGCTTTTGTCGGCGCTGTATCTCTACGACCAGCAGAAGTTCTTTACATTTCCCTCATCGTCCACCAGGAACCTCTGACCCGTTGGTGTTTCTTTGATCCTAGCTCCAATGGGCACCTCGATGTCCGAGTCCACCCAAACCATTTCCCCCTGTGGACAAACGGTATCTTGTGAAGAAATCCACAAACTCGCTACAAACCACAGGTTACAATGAGCCCACACAAGATTAGAGGAACCACGATGGTGAACTACCCTCTTATCAATAAAATCTATTCACTCAACTCCCAGGCCAGGCTGAGACACCTGTTGCTGTTCTTACCTTTCGCAGCATCACGGTTTAATTTCTTTCCTTCCAGGTCCCTTAAATAAAGAAATCCATGGGAAAAATGAATTAAAATGTACTTTAGGCCGTCCGTGTGATTCAGCACTGCTGACAAAGTCCATTGTTGAGCTCTGAATCACAAAATGTGACTTACATAAAAAAATAATAAACTATGAGAAAAGTGAACAAGCAGACTTCTAATATTACCTGAATATCTTTTAGCTTGTGATCCTCATGAATCCGTTTCGGTCTAGTTAAGATTCCCCCACAGTTTAAGGAAGGAGGAAACACAGCTCCTCTATGACTGATGGAGATTTTATGGTGCTTTGACTTTGGACCCACGGTGACGGAAAGGAAACGCGACATAGAGAGGTGAACAGCTGTGGTGCCTTTAATGAGCTGCCTTGTGTTCACACTCATCCCACCATCACCCTTTAGGAGTTTCCCCAACTTCAAATGAACTCTTGCAGAAATTGTAACGGACCGATCCCATGTGGGTTTGACGGGTCAGACTGGTGGGGAAATGGGACGACATCTGGGAGAAAGATCTAGATCTGAAATGTTTAGAAAAGTAAGCTTAGATATTTATGTTATTTAATGTTTTACGTAAAGAGAGCAGGCGTAGAGTCGCCAGGGTCAGTGAGAGGTGTAATGAATTTATGTGCAGCCTTTGGACCCTGCTTGTGTAAATCAGACAAGACGCAGCAGAGCATCTCGCTACCACTGCAATAAAGATAAACTACAGGACTGAAGAAAGAACAGTTTGCTCTCAAGAGGGGGTCCACTACCGTACTTCCTCAGGAGGTGTCGTTACACGTCAGAGATAATCTTACTGCTGTGTTCTGGTTGTGCTTCAGACCACCGCTGTAGGGTGTAGTTACTGCGAGTGGAGTCTTTACAGACGACCTGGCTGGGATGGCGGTCCTTGCTGATTACTTACTGGCGTCAGTGTGTGTTCAGCCCTGATAAGGAGCTCCCTGAAAGGTGGTCAAAGTGAAAAATAAAACTCTTTACGATACAAACACATCCTCAATTTAGAGTGTCGTCCCAGAGGTATGCAGCTTTAAGATGATCCTTCTGGAAAGTGCAGAGGACACTGAAAACGAATCAATTACTCAACTAAAGAGGCATCTGCTAACAGTGAACTCTGTCTTGTACAAATTCAGGTGTTCAGTAATTATTTGTTGAGAACCTTTTCTCAGAAACTCGCATAAAAACAGTCAGCTGTGTCTAATAAAGTCCTTGTTGTGATGAACTGTTGCAGAGCAGCCGTGACATACAGTAAGAACACTCCTTGACAACAAACACTGAGCTTATCTGTTTATTCAATATAAATAAACACTACAGTGATCCATGGGATGTTTTATAGAGGATCCAAGGTGAGTTACAAGCAGCATTCACTATCATTGATTGGACTTTGAATTCACCGTCATTCCTAAGTGACTCCACCAACAGGAAGTAATGAGTTTCAGGAAATACAACTAATAAACACAGTTTACATGACTAAGTATTTCTTTACAGTTGGAGACAAATATGTATTAGTTGTGTATGAGTTGCATCAAAGTATACCATCCTACACTGACCAGGCCAAATAAAAATGGCACACACTATTTCATTGGACCTCCTTTAGCTTTGATTACAGCACTCATTCTCTGCGGCCTTGTTTCGATAAGCTTCTGCAATGTCACAAGACGTAATTCCATCTAGTGTTGCATTGATGTTTCACCTAGATCTTGCATTGATGATGGTAGTCTGACCGCTGCACAAAGCCTTCTCCAGAACATCCCAAAGATTCTCAATGAGGATAAGGTCTGGACTCTCTGGTGGCCAGTACATGTGTGAAAATGATGTCTCATGCTCCCTGAACCTCTCTTTCACTGTCTGAGCCCGATGAATCCTGGCATTATCATCTTGGAATATACCCGTGCCATCAGGGAAGATGGAATAACTTGGTCATTAAATACCTTCATGTAGTCAGCTGACCTCATTCTTGGAGCACATCTTGTTGCAGAACCTAGACCTGACCACCTGCATCAAGCCCAGATCATAGCACTGCCCCCACAGGCTTGTACAGTAGGCACTAGGCATGATGGTGCATCACTTCATCTGCCTCTCTTCTCAACCTGATGCACCACCACTCTGGAACAGGGTCCATCTGGACGCATCAGACCAGTGTTTAATAATGCGTTGGCCAGTTCTTAACCCACTTTTAGCCATTTCCGCATCTCCTCAGATGTTTTCTCTGCTTGATGCAGGCCGATGATCTGATGCTTCTCAAACAGACCAACATCTTTTCCACGACCACCAGATGTGTCTTTCCTCATGATTAAGAAATGAGAAGCAGCTCGTTGCACAAGTAACTTGTTACAGCTGAAAGCCCATGCAGTAATTATCCAATAGGAGCCTCCAACCTATTTGCTTAGTTAAATCCAGGTGGAGACTCTTATTTTTTTTTGGCCAGGCAGTGTATAAACTATCAGATTACAGAATAAAGTAACATTTGAAAAATGTAGATCTATTTAATTTTACGTCTGGGATTTTTTTTATATAATTTAACCCTTTGATGCATGAATTATGAAATCTTCAACCATGATTTTTTAAACAATTTTTTTCATTCATCTTTAGGTGTGAATGAAACAAATTTCAAATATTTTTTGTTAAATTTTATAATTTACAAATAACTTATTACATGTCCACCTCAGTGGACAGCGTGCATTCTGAGCATGAAATATGTTGGCTTGGCTTACTGAAGTCCAAATGGAGGGGCTCAAACGCAATAAAGTCCTCAACAGCTGTGCTTAATAGCAAAAACAAGTAAATAACAATTTTGAGTACTTGTCCACTGTAGTGACCATTATGCATCAAAGGGTTAAAAAAAAAATTTATATCAGATCCTGCTGCTCCACATATAAAAGCTGGTGATGATTAAAAAAAATTAACGTGGCAGTTTTTAAAACAGTGTGTGTCACAGATTGGAACTGATCACTAGTCCTCTTAAGGTGAACATTAAGCTACGTCAATAACAAAACGCTGCAATCACATTTTCTGATCAAACCCTGAACTGACATTTTGAAACGTATAATGTGATATGTGAGCCTAACAAGGAGACAGGTTTCAAACATCGAATTAAAAACTTTAAGGCCACTGACCATTTTAAGCAGCAGTTTACATTCAAGTTATTCCCATGTTTTAAATTAAATATAAGTTTACAATTGAAAAAAAAACTTAGGCCTGTTTTGTACAGAAAAGAAAAACATTTCAACAGATCCTCAACATGATCCTCTTAATAACAATTAAATGTATGTGTTTCACTGCAAAACTGTTAAAAAGAAAAAAACATCGCCTTCATTAACGCACAAAACCTGCCCCCCCCCCCCCCCCCCCCCCCCCAAAAAAAAAACAATCGTTCCTTTTCTAAATGTAAACGTAGGTTTATAGGACAGGAACTGGCTGTTAGCTTCAGTGAATGTAAACCTGTTGAGAGTAATAACGAAAGCTTCCACAGAAAGCAAAAGCAGCCTTTCATGGTTCTTCATAAATGTTTCATCCTTTCTGATGACTTCAGAGTTCCAGTAAAAATGGCCGATCTGAGGAAACCTCTTCAGGGAGAGGTGAGACGCCACCATCACAATGCTTTCTACTATTCACACCACCAAGATGAAAATCTCTCTTCTCAGCCCTAAAATCAAGAAACCAGGCACCGACCCACCAAATCTTTTAAATTAGTTTTTAACATGAGACTGAGAGTAAAAATCTAAACTGACTTAAAAGAATCAACTAAATAGGATTCATTATGGCTTTGGTGATTTTGCCTCAAACCAGAACAAATTTCACTCTAAACGACACCAACTTTCTAGCAACTTTTAACAAATAAATCTGATTCTATTTAGACGTCAAGGTCCATTCGGTGTGTCATGTGATGCTGCGCTATAAGTGAAAAATAAAACTTTGATAGCTTGAAGGATAATTTACTAGTCTATGAGGACCGGACGCGTGAACAGTATTACTCCACACTAGCACTGCTACTCTTTATGTCGAGTAAAATTTAATTTCTTTTAATCCACTAAAGACAATGTGCAGCTCATCACTTCCGTCACAGCATTTGTTTTAGGGTTCGCCGCCCTCTGGCCTCTTGAGCACCGCGCTGTATTTCACACCACCGTCTGATTTCAGTTGCACCTCCACGAGCGAGAAGTATGAAATCGTCTGTGAATAAAAAGAAGGAATTCTGAGTATTTTAATCATATTAGACAACAACTCCATCTTAATATGACTATTATTCTTAAGCCCGAATCACACAGCAGGATTTTAAAACTGTTGGCCAATTTACGAAACATGAGCAACCCCGTAAAGGGTGATTAAAACAACCATGGATGTTCCAGTTTTGATCCTACAGTGTGTTGTTTGCAGCAACTTACTAAAACTATGTACTACACACGAACACTCCTTGTTCAGATGGGAAGTCTTGCAATACCAAATGTGACTTCAAAGTAAACTAACAAGGAGAAGCGTGCAGCATGCGCCCATTATCTTGCTTTCTGATTGACTACACGTCCCATTCAATAAGCAGGACAATCCAACTTGTTTGAAAGCCCAGATTTATGATCATAGCACTGTTGATGTACTTCTGAGCTGACCAGTTTTCTTAAAGGTCCTATATCATGCAAAATCCACTTTTTGGAGCTTTTGACCATGTTATATAATCTGCATGGTTACCCTGCCATGTGAACTGGCTTTCTTGAAGACCAGTGAAAAGTGTATAAGTGACTCAAACAACTATGATTCAAACCCCTAAAATACTAATGATGTGTTAAAGTCACCTTCCACAGCTTATACACCTTAAAATAACATTTTTGAAGGGTTTCTGCAGCATACTATCATTTATTATGTTCATTTTAAGAGCTGTGATAGTGTTCTGGGGTCCCACATCTGTTTACCGTTTACAGTTGTTGAGTGGCGCTGGATGTACTGACTGCGTGTCGCTTTACAGCAGTATCATGTAGACCCCATAGACATGATTACATAGATGCAGCATTGGGAGCTGGAGGGTGTAACAGCGTTGCCGCCATATTGGATGGGTCTCCTCACTCTCCAAAGTAAGAGCAGAGTGAGCAAATATGCCCGTTTTTGTGCAGCCTACGGTTACAGCTGCAGTGTGTCACCTACATAGGCTCAGGCGCATGGGCTTCGCCACGCCTGACATTCTAGCACCATGGCTATGAGATCAAACCCCCACCCCCCTCTCACAGCTGACGCATGGCACCGAAATGTTCCACGCGAGGAAGGGGTAATAACCCCTTCCTCGCTCTCATGGCAGCGAAATGGTCACGAGCGCACATGCATGGGGACACTTTTTCTAATAAGGAGGTTAAACACCCACACCTTTCCTGCAGTTTAGCTCAAAAACTTCACTATCAGTCTGGTCCCTCTGTGTTTCTGTGGCTGTGTTTGCCCCCGCCCTTCTGTTGCTGATTGAAACCCACACCTCTACCCTCCGGTGTTACGTCAGTATTCCAGTCAGTTGCGTTGCTGAAACGCTTTTCCCCACCGCTCCGCCCAAGCGGTAAAAACGCGTGCGCTCATTACAATCTTGTTCCCGCGGTGCGCTCTGGTTTTGATTTAATACGAGCCGCAGATCTAAGTTGTGTGTTTTTTTATCCAACGGCGGGCAGAACCAGGACCAGCTGGGGAAATTCCCGGTGGCCCTAATTGAGTTCAGTGTTATAAATCTGTTATACAGTCCTGATAAAACACTATTGTTGAAACGCTGCTTAATGTGTTTGTTTGGACATGCAAGTTGGAAAACAGCCAGTAACTATGTCTCTTAAGCACGACAGAGATTTTAGATTTTACAACACTGACGTTAGAGCTGGGCGATAGGGCCTAACATCAATATCACAATATATTGAGAATTTCACCTCGATAACAATAAATGAACGATAACTACGGGTATGTGCAGAAACAAAAGCTGTCCACCAGATGGGGATGTCCCATGTATTACGTTGAGTCATCATTTTTACGTGACTCAAGGTGGTACAGCTTCTTAAAGGGACATGAACGTTGCCAAGCTACACACATCTTTTCATTTTTTTATTATCAAATTTATTGACACAGGAAAAATTATCTCGATAAGAGTCGGAAACTTCGATAATACATTTTCGATTTATTGCCCAGCCCTAAGTGACGTTACGCAGCAAGCCTTAAGAGGGAGACAGAGAGCATATCTGCAAAGCTCAGGAGTGTGTCTGTAAAGATCCTAAAGAACCGTGTGTTCTGTAGTCTCACCTGTTCAATCGGAGGACTTTCTTGGTCCTTTGGTTTCCAAACCAGTCTGAGCTCTGACTTCTTTCCCACCTTACGATGGTGGAATGAGGACAAACCTGCAATAAACTACAGAGAAATGTTGAAAATAATGTCAGAATCACTGTGACACCAGGGAGGGTTGAATTGTTCACCGACTCTGTAGTTGTATTTGAGTTTTAACCAAGTATTAAACTCAGTGTTTCGTGGCGCTGCACCACTCCTGAAATTCTAGTGCCACGAGTCACGACTATGAAATTTTCGTTGTTGCTTCCCTTCCGTGTGTCTGTGAATCTCGTGGGCATGGCAGTGGAACTCCAGCCGTGGCGCAGCGCCGTGCCTGAGCCTGTGTAGGGGCAACACTGGGACTCTAGTATTACTGCCAAATAATTATTGAATGAATATCAGCTAGTTCATCCAATATCCCAAATACCCCCCACCGCTACCACACAGAGATAATACGACAGACTGACCTTGCAGTAGATGCGTTTCTGGACGCGGAACTTCCAAACTATCACATCAAAGGCCTTATCCAGAACCCCCATCACTATGGCCATGGAATCCAGCGGGCCACACTCCTGAAGAGCACACCAACAAAACGCTTAGCCCTTTAGCCTACTTTCCAGAAAAATGCAATACCACGTGTGATGTCCACACAATAACAAGCACAGAGAAAGAAAGCTGCATAAATCCTAAAAGGTCTATGGTTCTTTTTTGTTCCGTTTACAAATGCTATGGGAGTTACACAGGAAATGTCGTATGTTTACCTGCACGTGACTTTTATTTTGAAAGTTTCCAGATGTTTTACACAGCTTTCGTGTTTGACTTCCTGTCTGGCCTGACCTAAACAGCATGTTCTGGAACCGTAGAACATTAAAAAATAGACTCCAAACATAATGATAGCATCCCTTTTATTCTGGGACGAGTCCAAAGCATTACACTTTGCTGCCGGTGAAAAGAAACCTGTCCACTAACGGCGGCTAATTGCTGCAGAGTACGATTTGCAGCCATTTTGTGACGCTTTCACGTGCGGTGGAAAGGAGGCGTTAGAAAAGTTTAAACCCATAGCTCACTGTGGAGCTTTAGGGTTTATTTCCACCGTCAGCCAGCAACACAGAAAGCAGGATTTAATTAAATTGAAACATTTCATTTTAGGCTTGAATGCATAATTAAACGGATCCATTATTCACTCACTTGTTAATCTACAACTGTCAATCCCTCCTCTCTAGTAATAATTATTGGTGTTTTATTTTCAATGGTGGGAAATCCTGACAAAGTCTCAAACATTTGTGGAATGGAAACCAGAGCTAAATGTGTTGGTAACTATTCCCCAGAAAGACCACCTGCATCGTTTTCTTTACCACTCTTGTTTTTGAGCTCCAGGAGCTTCCAGGTGTGTTCCAGTCTCAGGTGTGAATGTTCCCCAATTGGCAGCAATTGAACACGTTCTGTATGTGACGGACTGACCAACACCACTACACCAGTTGACCTTAACAAGTCCTGGTTCTGGAATGAGATCTTGTTTCGCAGTAACGCATGGTTAGACTGGTGACAAGCATAAGGAGCAGGAGTGTGGCTGTGTATGGATCTTCTACATTCTACTGATACCCGACGGTACAATATGAATAAAGTAAAGAAATGCCATGCTGTTAAATTTCCTTACCGTCTGAAATTGCTGCCATCTAATCCAAACCCAGTCAGCTAAACTACCAAGCAGCTCAAAAGAAGAGTAAAAAACAAGAAAATCCTTAATCAGTAAGGTAGGTTTTTTAAGGGCATTACTCAGCCTGAAACAGCTCTGTACAGCGTGGTTCAAGTCAGCTCATCTGACTGTGGGTGCGAACTCTACAGCAACCAGTGACTCCATCCCCTAGCCAATCAGCGGCCACAGTCGCAATGTAAGTAAGTAAGTAAAAGTTTATTTATAAAGCGCCTTTCGCAGATATGAATCACAAAGTGCTGTACAACATGAGTAAAATCAGGGCAAACACCTCAAACCGATAAAAACAGATCATAAAAAACAATAGCAGTGACAAAATAGTAAACAAAATCAGGAGTAAAAACAAAGTCAGAGTATGAACAAAGACAAAGCCATCTTTCTGAATATTTAGCGGGGGAACGTCTGGATGAAAAGGTGAGTTTTTAAATGTTTTTTGAAGACCTCTACAGTTTTGGAGAGACAGAGGTTTGAAGGTAGACTGTTCCAAAGTCTGGGTGCAATAGTCTGAAAGGCCCTGTCCCCTTTGAGGAACAGCCAGGAGGTTTTCAGATGTGGATCGAAGGTTCCGTGAAGTGGTGTGTGGGGATTAAAGCTTGGAGCCTGGTTGTTAAGAGCTCTATAGGTCAGCACTAATACTTTAAATTGAATTCTATATTCTACCGGGAGCCAGTGGAGGGACTGTAAAACTGGGGTGATGTGAGCTCGTCTGCTGGATTTGGTTAAGAGTCTGGCTGCTGCATTTTGGATGGCTTGAAGGCGTGAGAGGGAGGTTTTGCTGAGACCAGTAAAAAGAGCGTTACAGTAGTCTAAGCGTGATGACACAAAGGCATGGATGATTTTTTCCAGATCTGCAGTAGAAACCATTTTACGAACTTTTGAAATATTTCTCAGGTGAAAGAAAAGGAGCGGGAGATGGTTTTGACGTGTGAGTCTAAACTTAAAACTGGATCAAAAATAACTCCTAGGTTTCTAATGTTGGACTTGGCTGTTGGGCAAAAGGAGGCAATTTCCTGCTCGATTTTTGGCTGAAGTTCCGGGGGTGCAGCGATCAGGGTCTCTGTCTTGTTGGCATTGAGAACAAGAAAGTTGCTGGACAGCCAGTTACTGATCTGGGTCAGGCAGAGTATATGGGTGGCCGGCCTGTCCAACTGGTGTGGCATGAAGGACATATAGAGCTGAATATCGTCAGCGTAGATGTGGTAGGAGATTTCAGGGAAAGACTGAATGATGCCAGCTAGAGGAAGAATAAAGAATGTGAACAGTAGAGGTCCTAGAACTGAACCTTGTGGGACCCTGCAGGTTAGAGAGGCGGTGTCTGATGAAAAGGTTTCTGACGTCACTGCGAATGTTCTATTGGTGTGATAAGAGGAGAGCCAGTCTAGAGCAGAACCTGAGATCCCAGCCAGAGCATTTAACCTGCTCAGTACAACGTTGTGGTCTGCAGTGTCAAAAGCTGCACTGAGGTTAAGCAGGACCATGACAGAGCATTTCCCTGCATCAGCAGCCATTAGGAGGTCATTATGCACCCTTACTAGAGCAGTCTCAGTTGAGTGCTGCTTCAGAAAGCCAGACTGGAAGGGGTCAGAGATCTTTGACTTAGAAAACCAGGATCTGAGTTGAGTTTCAACAACCTTCTCAAGTACTTTACTGATGAAAAGTAGCTTAGAAATGGGCCTGAAGTTACTGGTGGAGCTGGCGTCAAGGTTGGGTTTCTTTAAGAGAGGAGTCACTACTGCATTTTTGAACACAGCCTTGGCTCAGTGAGCTGTTGATTATAGTCAACAGAGATGGACTGATAGAGGCAAGGGACAAAGACAGAGGGAGGTAAGATATCTGATGAGCATGATGAGAGTTTCATCTGACTGATTATTAAGGTTAAGTAATTTAGTGTGATTGGGGAGAAGGAGGTGAAAGACTCAGAGCATTGAGGGGCCTCCCCTCATGATGGGGGGAGCTGGTGGAATGCTGGATCTCAGATTCAACACCTTGTTTGCAAAAAAGTGGAGAAATATGTTATAATCATCAGCTGAAGATAGCTGAGCCTGCTGAGGAGGAGAAGACACGATGCTGGAGATGGTATCAAACAAAATCTTAGAATTATTCCTATTTTGGCATATGAGGTTGCTGAAGAAAGAAGACCTGGCATTTTCTACAGCTTCGTTGTATGACTCGAGAAGTTCTTTAAAATATTCGCAATGAACAACCAAACCTGTCTTCTTCCACTGTCGTTCTGCTTTTCTATAGGAGCGTCTAAGTTCAAGAATCTGGTTGTTCAGCCAGGGAGAGCTGGAGGCACTGGAACTGCGGCTGGTTTTGTGTGGGGCAACCTGATCAAGAATTTTGAGGCAGTGATCATTAAATGAGTTAGTAAGGAGCTCTACGTCATCAGAGGAAGGAGGTACAAAGTCAAAGAGGGAGGAGAAAATTAAAATGGTAGAACTGTTGATAATACGTCGTTGCTTGGCAGAGTCTGGTAAAAGAGATTCAGAATTTAGGTTAATATGAAAAGAAACTGACTTATGGTCACTGAACACAACATCATTTATCTGCAGTTTATCAACAAGAAGTCCGTAGGAAAAGACCAGATCCAGGGTGTGGCCGCTCTGTGAGTGGGACCAGACACGTGTTGAGAGAAGTTAAAAGAGTTCATCATGTTTAGGAACTCTCTAGTAGAGCTGTTAGATAGATCCTCAGCATGGATGTTGAAATCTCCAACAATGATTATCCTGTCTAGTTTAATAGTTGAAGATAGGAGGTCCTGAAAGTCAGACAGGAAGGATGAAGTAGATCCAGGTGGGCGATAGACCAGAATCCCATAAACTGGTAGAACTCGACCAATTTTAATCATGATCATCTCAAATGAGCTGTAGGAGCTTGAGGATATAATTTGGCATGAAAAGTGTTTTTTTAAAGATAACAGCTGTTCCTCCATCACGGCCTGTGGTTCGTGGGGCAGAGAAGAAAGAGCAGTCTTGAGGACAGAGCTCGCGGAGATGAGTGACGTCATTTTCGCGCTGCCACGACTCAGAAATCCATTAAAAGTTTAATTTTTTGGTGCAGAACAGATTGTTTAGGATGCGAGACTTGTTGGCGATGGAGCGTGCATTAATTATCATTTTTGCAGAGAAATCTGGCGATGTGTGTGCGGCAGGCTCCATAATGGCGGTCGGCTGGCGGGCTAAGCAACGTAGTGACTCCAGGCTACGCCCGCAGAGGTTCTTTGTCTCCCACACCTTCAGGTAGCGTCCTGCATTGGGGGCTCCATAGAGCAGCGAGATCAGCCCAACTCCGTTGAGTTTCTGTTGGATCCGCCACGTCACAGCCGCGGAGAAGCGATCAGGTAGAGCTTCGCCTCTCAGGATCTTTCGATACTGAACGAAGAAGCCGGCTCTCTTCCCCCGTTTCCTCTTCCATGGCCTCCGGGGCAGCGGCAGGCTGACAGGTAACAAAGGGCCGACACCTGGGTTAACGCCAGTTTCCAGTGGCGGTGGGAAAGCGGGTGCGGTATTGTAGTTCTGGAGGTTGATCATCGCAGATCTGATCGACAATAGTAAGTCTTGATCATATGTTAGCAGGAAATCCGCACCAGATAAAGAAGAAACAATAAAAAACAACAAATAACCAAAAAAGATCAGGAGCCTAGCAAAAGCACAACCACTCATGGGCGCCATCTTGCAAGACTAGATCTTACAATGCTGGCCCAACTCAGCCTTGCTAGGCACCTCAACAGAGCAGGGACTAAAAATTGAGGAAAAAGTAGAGGGAAAATACCGGATCGTGCTCTTGGAAACTGTGGTCAGGCTGAGCTGCACTGGTCCGAGATACTCTAGCAGGGATGATGGAAAACTATCAGTAACAGTACAAAAAGTCTCCTCTCTTCCGGGTTTCTCTTCTGTTTCTTCTTCCAGATTCAAGAAGTGTCACGTAAAACGTATTACTGACATGTTGCTACCACATGTACAGTGTGAGCAATTTGCACCCAAGCATTAGATCGTACAGTGAGAGAACACGACTCGTGAGCTGTCCTGTGAAGAAGTCATACGTGTTGAGATGGAGCCGAATACAAATCACCAAATTTATTTTAGAAAGGATAAATCCCACTTGTTGTGTTGCTCATTCCACAGATGCATGGTCCCTATCAGTTATAAAGGTGAAACTAAAATATGGAGCCACAGTTCATTTATTTCAGTAATTCAACTTAAAAGGTGAAACTAGTACGTGAGATACTCGTTACATGCAAAGTCAGATTTCAAACCATTATTTGATATAAGTGAGGATTATGACTTACAGCTGATGAAAACCCCACATTCAAAATATCAGACAATTATAATATTGTGAAAAGGTTCAATATTCCAGACTCAAAGTGTCACACTCTAATCAGCTAATGAATCCAGAACAGCTGCAGAGGGCTCCTAAGCCTTTAGATGGTCTCTCAGTCTGAGCTGAATTACTGACATATTCCCATTTTTCACCATTTGGTATTATTAAACAGGATAAATGACTAAATTACAAAACTCGAATCAGATATTAGAAACAGATATGGTGACCACTGTGTTTGTCTCATTTGCTGCACATTTTGAGATACACACCGTGATTTTGTGTCCTACCTTTACAAACATTCCAAAGAAAAGATCGGTGCTGAGCTCACTGACTTTTTTAGCAGCAGTCTTCTTGTCGTTACAGAGTGACGCCTGTTTACCCACTTCCACTGCTGACAGGCTTAAATGTGGCCCACAGTCTGTGTAAAACAGAATTACCAGAAATGTCAGTGAAATGGAGAAAAGGTGGTGAGGACAATGCAGAAAATCAGCAAAACAACAACAAAAACAACAACAACAACTGAGATTTGACATCCTTCTGGTTATGCTGTTAAACACACAGAGCTTAAAACAAAAGAACCTCTGTTATTGGCATTGTGAACACACTGTGTCTCTGAGAAAACCCATAGTAGAAGCAGAGCATACTCAGTGAAGAGGCCAGCAGCCGGTGCACGATGATGTCAGCGTGGCGTCTGATGGGCGATGTGAAGTGTGTGTAGAAAGGAACGTTGAGAGCATAGTGCTTAAAAAGCTCTGTGTCCTTCAGAATGCCTGCACAAAAGTACAACGCTATCTAAAGACAAAAACAGCCAGAATAAATGTAGAGAAGGATTCTTGGACAAAGTTCAAGTTTATGCAACATCTCACCAGAAATGAACAGGTTTAACAACAAGCACAACCCTCTTATGCATATTTTTAGGGTTCCCTGCCCGCTGGGCTATTGTTCATCTAGGGAATTTTCATAATTGTTTGAATGCTGTAAAGCATTCAAACTATAGTGAACCTGTTTCTCTTTATAGTTATTAGTCGGTTTATTATTCTGCTTCCGTACGTTTTTGGCATTTAACTACTTCCACAATTCTTCAACTATTTACACAATTTTGATATCAAAACGTTCAGCTCGTTCAGCTTATGCCGGCAATGACTTTTGGTATTAAAATATTTTATACTTTTTGAGATATTTAGCTTTTTCTGCGATTTTTGGTCCCATTGAAATGAATGGGATTGCTCAATTTTCAGTTAAATCCTTACACTTTTTTGAACTCTTATTATAGGTTAACTTTAACCTAGAGACGTCATTCAAGTTTCAACAACCTCACAAGACTTTCAGCTATTACTGGTTAAAATATCTTTTTGATACCTATTACAGTTTTTCTAAAATCACAGGTAGAAGTTGAGGTACGGCTTGAGATTTTCAGAAAAAATCACAAAAATTATAATGGGCAGAGATAGGAGCAATGACCTTCTTTTGCTCCATTTCTGGCATTGTCCTGAGAAAACCGTAAGTCCGATTGAAATGAGACGCATGCTGGCTTGCAGCTAACGGATATACCTTCGTTTTGAGCTATAAATCATGAATGTACTCCAAACATTGTGGCCATACGGTTCATTTCTTTGAGAATATTTAAATAAAAAAAAATGTCTCTCACCACTCTAAACTGAAAATTCCGCACTCTTAACTTTTGACCTTCACATTTTCTGGAAACAACTCTTTCCAACACCCAGACCGTTTGAAGTACCGAAACAAATTATATCTCAAAAAGTAGGAATTTTGTCAGTTTTTCAGAATGGGTTTCACTTTGTCCTTACGTGTTACGGTTCTTTCTCTACAAACCTCAGAAGGAGGAGAGACCCAGATTCTGTCTCATTGAAACCCATGTTAAAGGAACAGAGATTTTCTCCTCCGATCGGCTTCAGACAGCTAAAATGTTCTTGTCATAGCTTCTAGACAAGTCATGGTAGGCATATAAAAATTCACACAGATGACCATCAAAGCCTTCTGCCGCTCACGCTTTTTGAATTTTTCGAATTGGTGCAGTACTTTTTGAATGGTGATGAGAAGTTTGACAGGTCCAATTTCACTTCTGAAGGACAGATTTAAAGGCTTCTCTCATTAACAGGAGTACAGCCAGTGTTGCCAACTGTTTTTGACTGAAAGTAGCTGAAGTTCCCCCCAATAGTCGCTAGATGTCGCCAGATGACGTCACGTGCTAATTTACATATTGATTATGTCATCACGCCACATTGGCGTTCATTTTCCCCATAGCATCTAAAAGATATATATATATATATATATATATATATATATATATATATATATATATATGACTAAAAGGGAGGAAAATAAAAACTATGTTATGTGTTAAAGTTATTAATTAGTATGATTAAAATGGCCCAAATTGCTTTGATATGTACAATAAATTCCAAAAGTATCAATAAAGTGACAATAAGACAGATATGGTGTGGTGATCCAAACAGTTCTGTTGTAGGATATAACTCAGACCTCCTGCTCTCCTCGTTCTCACAGACATTTTCCTAAAAAGCTGTTTTTTTTTACACCTCAGTTTCTCAACATCTCTGTTGTGTGTTCTCTCCATCGTGATAATAACGGCGCACCGAGCAAAAGGGAGCGGGTGTCTCATAGTATAACCATCCCTGTGTCACTGAAGGAAATTCAGATGAGCCATAGAGCTGCGTGTGTAAAGGGCACAGTAGTTGAAACTCCCGATGACTTTATTTGCCAAATGCAGGAAAAACCAAAGTGTCTGACGGCTGCAGAACCAGAGATCGCAGGTTGACGCCTGCGCCATCTCTAGTAGAAGCGTGAGCCTGCAGCAGCAGTAGATGTAAATCGGCGGTCTCAGCCTCTGCAACTGTACCTTTGTCTTCAGCGAATCAGCCCGGCTGAAAACGGTTTATGATTGGTCAGTCCTCGTGCACATGTGCAGATTATCGTTCTCTCATTACTCCCGGAAGAACGGTTCAGAGTGCAAATGGTTTCTTTGTTGCTAATCTGTGGGGAATATCTACAAGAAAGTTCAACAGAAAGTAGCAACGGGTCCTGAGAAATGTCGCTAGGTTTGTCGCTAGGTGCTTTTTTGAAAAAAAAAAAAAAGTCGTTGAGGGGGGATTTTTAATGAATTTTTTACTTTATGCCAGTTTTTCTGTATAGTTGGATAAAAAAAATGTTGTTAGAAAATTTTTTATGTATAGAGTAAATATAAACATTCCACATGTACCTATGGTGATCTGACATTTTTCTACTTATTTTAAAAAGTAGCAATATTTTTTTATGAATATTTTAATTTTGGGCGTGACCCTTAAAATAATATTTACCAACTTTTCTTCAAAAAAGCTTTGGATCTACTGATTTAAAAACAACAGCCCTAGTATTCCGCAGGTTAACATTGGTGGTGCCAGAATATTTAGGTAATTTTATGATGATGTATGGATTTTTCAGGATTTTTTAAAAATATCATTTGATCAGTAAGTCTGGTGCTGGTTGGCTTGGAACCCGTTAACTGCTTGCAGTTCTAGTACTTATTATAATTACACAAACACACACTGCATGTTTTGCTGAAGAGGTATAAATATGAGCTCTATGGAATGAGTCCAGAGTAGAGAAATGAGAGAGCCATAACATTTAGGACTGATTTCTAACCTTCATAGGTCTGGAGCACAAGTTGGTGAGGACGTCTCTTCTGGCAGCGTGAAACTCATCATCACCATAAAGTGTGTTGAGACTCTTCTGCTCATTAGAATTGTTTAAACATGAGAAGAAAAAAAAACATATAAAGATCACGGTACAAATGCAGATCACATGATGCAACCATTAAGAGGTCCTGTCTGGAGATCTCTTAAAACAGACTTTGTGTATTAACCTGAATCAAAACTAAAAGATGGTTTAGATAAACAAGCATTTCATGAAAAAATTATAAAAATACAAATACTGACATTTAACGCTCCTGCAGAAGAAATGTCAATATCAAATCCCAACTGGGTGCACAGCTCCTTGACCTCTTCCATCAGCTTGGTTTTGGGAGGAGGGTGGCACCGCAGCAGAGCCAAATCAGGGAAACTTTGATAAACGTGGTTCGCTGTGGCCATGTTAGCTAGTAACATGAACTCTTCCACCAACCTGGGGAGCAGAATTTGAATCAATGCACTCCAGTGATGCTAAGATCCTCTTATGATAAAAGACTGCGGGAGTTCTATTAGAGCTCCATGTATGTGCTGCACACGATTCCCTGCTTCTATGACATCAGAGTGTAGCTCAATGTGGAAAATGGAACAAGTTCAGGGTTCCCTCCAGAAAATTTGAAAAGCCGGGCAGGCCGGACCGTGAGAGCGGTGTGTGTGTGGGTGGGGTGTTGCATGGCACATGGATCTCTCCACTGCCGTTCTTCATATGTGAGAGCGGTGCGATGTGTGTGTGTGTGTGTGTGTGTGGGGGGGGGGGGGGGTGTTGCATGGTGCATGGATCTCTCCACTGCCGTTCTTCATATGTGAGAGCGGTGCGATGTGTGTGTGTGTGTGTGTGTGTGTGTGGGGGGGGGGGGGGGGTGTTGCATGGTGCATGGATCTCTCCACTGCCGTTCTTCATATGTGAGAGCGGTGCGATGTGTGTGTGTGTGTGTGTGTGTGTGTGTGTGGGGGGGGGGGGGTGTTGCATGGTGCATGGATCTCTCCACTGCCGTTCTTCATATGTGAGAGCGGTGCGATGTGTGTGTGTGTGTGTGTGTGTGTGTGTGTGGGGGGGGGGGGGGTTGCATGGCGCATGGATCTCTCCACTGCCGTTCTTCATATGTGAGAGCGGTGCGATGTGTGTGTGTGTGTGGGGGTGTTGCATGGCGCATGGATCTCTCCACTGCCGTTCTTCATATGTGAGAGCGGTGCGATGTGTGTGTGTGTGTGTTGCATGGATCTCTCCACTGCCGTTCTTCATATGTGAGAGCGGTGCGATGTGTGTGTGTGTGTGTGTGTGTGTGTGTGGGGGGGGGTGTTGCATGGCGCATGGATCTCTCCACTGCCGTTCTTCATATGTGAGAGCGGTGCGATGTGTGTGTGTGTGTGGGGGTGTTGCATGGCGCATGGATCTCTCCACTGCCGTTCTTCATATGTGAGAGCGGTGCGATGTGTGTGTGTGTGTGGGGGTGTTGCATGGCGCATGGATCTCTCCACTGCCGTTCTTCATATGTGAGAGCGGTGCGATGTGTGTGTGTGTGTGGGGGTGTTGCATGGCGCATGGATCTCTCCACTGCCGTTCTTCATATGTGAGAGCGGTGCGATGTGTGTGTGTGTGTGTGTGTGGGGGTGTTGCATGGCGCATGGATCTCTCCACTGCCGTTCTTCATATGTGAGAGCGGTGCGATGTGTGTGTGTGTGTGGGGGTGTTGCATGGCGCATGGATCTCTCCACTGCCGTTCTTCATATGTGAGAGCGGTGCGATGTGTGTGTGTGTGTGTGTGTGTGTGTTGCATGGATCTCTCCACTGCCATTCTTCATATGTGAGAGCGGTGCGGTGTGTGTGTTGCATGGATCTCTCCACTGCCGTTTCTCGTATGTGAGAGTGGTGCGGTGAGCACGGATGGTTCTGCTAGTTTCTTGTCAGCATCAGTGAAGGGGAGGCCCACGGTTCGTTTCATTGGCGGCCTGCCAGGCTTATAAAGCGCTGGCTCCCTGAAGTTGCATTCATTTTTCTTGACTAATGTAGATTAGCTGTGTCAGGTAGACTAAAGGTTTATCAGAATGCATCCAGTGGTTGATGAGATAAAGACTAGCTGCTATAGAAGTTACTCACTCGTTGCTGTCTTTGTGCTCGTCAGTGCTGCAGCCTTGAGGCATCATGGTCTCTTTGTTTAATGTGAAACAAAGTTTCGGCTGAAATAAACAAAACATACAAAACAAATAAATCTGGCGGCTAAAATACATCTTCTTTTTTAATTTCTAACAAACAGGATATGGTCATAACTTTAGTTTACTGACACCATGATGTTAATCAGCTACCTACAATTAGAAAATGCTGCAAAAGTTAATTTATGCCAGTAATCCAGCATAGACTGAGAGACTATCTACAGGCTCAGGAACCATCTGCAGCTGTTCTGGATTCATTAGCTAATTAGAGTAGGACACTTTGAGTCTAGAATATTGAACCATTTCATAATATTCTGATTGCGAGAGATTTTGAATGTGGGGTTTTCATAATCATAACAGTTTTAACAAAGGCTGAAATATCTGGCTTTGCATGCATGAGTCTATCTCAGAGTAGTTTCACCTTTAAATATGAATTACTGACATAAAGGAACTTTTGCACCAAATTCAAAGTTTTACCTGTAGAAGTAAAATAAATGGCTTTCCCAGACATTTTTACTAATGAGCAATGACCATTTTCTTTTTAAATACAATTCAGGCTTCCTACACTGTAAGATTCAAGCACTTTTCAAGCATTTTAAGGTAAAATTTCTAACTTTTTTCCAAGTAACACACTTCAAAGATAAAACGATACATAAGAACTCAAAATGACAGTTTCACCTCACTATCATATTAATGTATTACTGTGATGAATAGGGTTGATCCTATCCAATCACAGGACCAGACATCGGGTCTGATCATATGATCTTAAAGGAGTCATCACCTGAAATTTTCACTTTTCCACTTGAAAAAAGGTATACAATGGCTTCCTAGTGATTTTTCACTTGCCGGAAAGTCGATATTTAATATTGGATCGTTTTTTTAACTCTTGCCTTCTTCTACCAGCCCACGTGCACCCCCCGAGCATGCACACTCCAAAACGAGATCTTGAGTCCTGGCCTTACTGACATCACAAAGGCAGGATGTATAGTACCATATATGGACAGCGCAGAGCAGCGCCGTCTTTGAAAATATAGTACTAACAGTTCATATTTTTAAAATATCCAACTTTTATCGCACTAATGGAAATACTTTCAATTAAAAATGTGTCAAAGGGATAGCTCAACTAGCAAGACACCTGACTCAACCATCAGCTCATTTATCATCTTGTTAAACAACCTTTTAATCACTGACGTTGTTGTTAGAAATGGTATTAGTGGTTCAAAGACATGTATTAATTATCATTATTAAAATTTTATTTAATTAACAGTTACAGGGCTCCATCTGCTCAGCATGAATAGAAAGAAACTGAATAGTAGCTGGCAGCTGCCTGGTCTCTGCCCTGGGCTGCCGTTTAAAACACTGGCAGGAACTGGCTTTATGTCTCCTCCACAACTCTGCTCTGTCTATTGTGGCAATAAAGATAAAAGATAACACTGAAAACCAAACATTTAAATAGATTTAGGATGAGTAACGTAGCAGTGAAATTATATTAAGAATATATGTTCAACATATATTTAGGTGGAGTCTGCTGCTCACACACTTGTGAAACTGACTCGCTCAGAGCTGCAGCAGCCATGTTAATTAAAGGCTAAATGATCGCTCTCTGTCGCTAACAAAAATAACAAATTTAGTTTTTTTATTACACTATCTTGGTTGATCTAAAATACAAAACTGTGCAGTTGATTTTCAAGTATTTTCAGTGACTTAAAGAAATCAAGCACTTTCCATACCTTAAAAACACAGTATTGAAAATTCTAAATTATGATTTTTTCCAGATCACATAGATCACTCACAAGTAAACAGAAACCCTTACAATTAATGTGATCCGTATCAGTGATCTTGGTGATCGGTAGCCAAAATAACCTGACCAGGTCCCTAACACACTCAGCTGGTCTGTCATTTAAAGTAACAGCTAGAGCTTCAACGTTGATCTCAGTGATTGCTGGGTTAGAAACTTGACCCGTTTCCTATTTGACACCACTCTGCAGCCTGTTGCTGACCAAAAACCGCACTTGATCGTTTTGTGGAGTGGGTAGGTGTCCTATAAGGGGTCCTCTTTACCTGCTTTACAGCTGTCAGCTGTAGGCTTTCAGGATTCTCTGGCCCGACCCGAGCCTGAGCCCAACTTTTTTTTAACCAACTAAATGAAAACAAAGTGAGTCAATCCTGACCAACGTGTTAAAAGACGTGCAGGATCCGATCAATTTGTTTTTCCCTCATGTACCATCACGGAGATAACGGCGCAGGCTCTGGTGGTAATCAAGTTAAATTTTATCTCTTTCCAACAATTTTCACAAGAAAACAAAACAGTCAAAAGCAGGGCTTGTGTTGACCGGACAGTTCCCGTATTTGACAGTTTATTTTGACGGAGAAAGAATACAAAATTACCCCGATGCACGCAGACGAACTGACATTTTATTTTACGCACATCGCAGATGTAGCTAAATCACCCAAGAAAAGATTCCCTTCTGAACATCTGAGCTGGACACTGCTCAGCGCAGCTCGCTGTCAGCGCATATGTGCACAGCGAGCTGAAGATGTGGAGATTGGCTTGGAGCGCGTTGCAGAACCAGAGCGCATGCGGGAAGGTTCCTCCCACTGAAGCGAGTGTTTTCCAAACCCTGTCTCTCAGAGAGACTTGTCACTTAGAAAATGTTCCCTGATTATGAAACTTTGGCTGAATAGCACTTGTTCCTGTCTCCAATGTGGCGACACATCCATGAGCCGTCTGAGGAGAAGCCCAGAATCTCACATCCTCTTCAGCTCAGAAAGCGCATATGATTACGCACAAACCTGAACAGTTCCAACCCGGTCTCACAGTAAGACCGGGTTGGAACTGTTCAGGTTTGCGCACACAATCTTTACATTTAGAATTGGCATACAAATATAAAATTAATTCAGTAAAATATAAAGCATTTTATTTAAATATCCATTCATTATTTTACAAGCACAGAGAGCCGCATCAGATTCAGATCAGCGGGAAGATTCAGTCGGAGGAATCTTCCCGCATGCGCTCTGGTTCTGCGACGCACTCCAAGCCCCTCTCCACATCTTCAGCTCGCTGTGTACCTTATGTAGTACACGCTGACAGCGAGCTGCGCTGAGCAGTGTCCAGCTCAGATGTTCAGATGGGAATCTTTTCTTGAGTGATTTAGCTACATCTGCGATGTGCGTAGAATAAAATGTCAGTTCATCTGCATGCGTCGGGGTAATTCTTTCTATTCTTTCTCCGTGAAAATAAACGGTCAAATACGGGAACTATCCGGTCAACACAAGCCCTGCTTTTAACTGTTCTGTTTTCTTGTGAAAATTGATAAAATTAAACTTGATTAACACCAGAGCCAGGCGCACTGTCCCGTTATCTCCGTCACTGTAAATGAGGGAAAAACAAATTGATCGGATCCTTTTCTGACCTTCCCCACCTACAAAGATTAATTACAACAATCAAACGCGACAGAGCCTGGATTTGTATTCTGAACAGTCTAAACATGTTTTAAAAAGAAACGTATGACAAAAGTGGCACCTGCTCAGTAAAACCACCAACAGGGTGAAAAATATCAAAATATTGTAGGCAGAGACGGGCTACAACTTCTGGATCCATTCTATATAAATCGTTTCATTGATTATCATCTTATGAAAGATAACTTTGACGTACACGAGGGACCGGTACTGGCTGCTGTCACCTGTTGTGAGCAGCGCTCTGCTGTCTGAGGGTAGGCCCCGCCCACAACGCAGCGACTGCTGTGGCTCCCAGTGTTTTCTATACTGTGGGAAATGGGTAATAATGGCTATTTGAACAGGTTGCCAACCCCTGGTTTAAGTGTTTAAATTTTTTTTAATGAATTCGATTAAAAATAAAGGCGCCCGGCCCGGCTCCGAGGTAATTACACAGTCGTTGGCCCAAAGCCCGGCCCGAGGGCCGTCGGGCCGGGCCGACCCGAGGGCCTAGGGCTTCAGTGCAGGGCTCTACCTCGGATACCCTGGCCAATAAATACCCTTGTTTTTTATGACGTACCACGCACATGGCTGATGCGCATGATCACACTGAGGAAGTTGGCGGAGCACAAAAAGGTACAGGAAAACAACTGAAACTATAAAACTGAAGAAAAAACCCAAACAAAAATATCTAAAGTATGAGAGAACTTCACTCTAGATGCCATGAAAAGACAGGTGACCTGCAAGATATGCAAAAACGATCTAGCATGGTTAGGGCTGCAACAACGAATCGATAAATTTGATGAAAATCGATTACTAAAAGCGTTGGCAACGAATTGCGTCATCGATTCGTTGTGTTGCGCAACTCTTCCAAAAGCCCCCTCCCCTCCCGCCCGCCGTTGCGCGCAGACCGGTGGAGAGCCGGCAGGTGTTTGTAAGAGGAACATGGCAGAAGCAGCGAGACTCCAAAAAAGTAAAAACTTCTAAAGTTTGGGAGCATTTTCAGTTAAATCAGGCGAAGACATTCAACGTTTGTAGGTCAGACAGCATGGCACGGGGATACTACGGTGATGATGCAGCGTCTTAAACGCAAGCATGTCAGAATCATCAGCGAGGAAGGAGAGAGCTCGGTGTCCGGGTAAGTTAAAAACTTTTCAAAAGTGATTCACCCAAGCCCCGGATTATTACACAGGCTAGACATGCCCTAAGCTCGTAAAAAAAGTCCATAAAATTGTAAGCGCGACGCTATTAGATAGGCGGGGGGGGGGACTCGCGCCGCTGCGAACCGGTTCCGCCGTCACATTCCCGCAGAAACTGGTTGATCACACCGGGGCCAGACTACTAACATGTGGTTTTACAACCGCAATGTCCTCAGAAGCGAAAATGCTTTTAAAAGGGAGGGAGGAGTCCTAACTGTTGCTGCAGGCGTGTTGTGTGAGAGTGCAGTTATATACTGGTTAATATATTTTTGGGTTCAGTTGCTTTCATGTGGCCTAATGTGAGTCTATTTGGGATCATTGGAATGATCAGCAGCATTTCTTGATGTGACTTTATGGCAGTTGCCCAGGGCATCATCGCAAGGAGGATGGCATTCATTTACTTTTGTTTTATTTGGTATTTTTTCAGTCATTTTTGGAAATGGTGATCAATTTTGATTAATTCACAGCCTATGTTTAATTACATTTAAAAATTAGTTGTTTGACATCCCCAGTTATAATAATTGTCTACGGATGAGATCAAACAAAACAGATGAGAATTGCCCTTAAAGAGCAAGTCACCCCCAGATAAACTTTTTTTTTGCTGATAAACTAAATAAACGAGTGTCTAATCGTGCTGCAGACACGTGTCGTCAATAATTTGGCACTTCAGTGCATCCTAGTTCAAATTTAAATATTCTGCCTAAAACTGGCAGTGTTGTGCCGTTGTCAGGTAAAAACTCTGCACTGTATTTTAATTTAAATCTGCCACCGCTATTGGCTAAGAAGTATGATATGATGTAAACTGGTACATTATGATGTCACAATGCTGTCGTGAGCCTGAGTGTGTGTGTATTTGTTAGCGGCTCCGCCCTCTCGGTCTGCCAGGCAACAGCATGTGTTGCATTTTTCAAACATAAAGCAGGAGTGGAGTTAGACTCTGGTAGGGGTTGACTTGCTCTTTAAGCTGTTTAACTTGGACCAAGCATTTTAGGTCACAGATAGGTGTAGCTTAGGGTCTCTGTCTATACACCTTATAAGACAATTTAGGTGATGGCATGTTGTTTTTCTGCTATTGAACTGTTTTCTAATAATGCTGTGTTTAATAAAGTGAAGGAAGGAGAAAAATAACGTTTCCCTAGCAGTTTTTAAAAATGTCCCTATGTAATCCGATTAATCGATTAATCGTGTCGAGACCCCATCCGATTAATCGATTATCCAAATAATCGTTTGTTGCAGCCCTAAGCATCGTACAACTTCTTTAAAGAAATATCTGGGAAGGAAAGATTTCTGTAGATGCTGCGGAAGAGCCAGCCCGGAAAATAACTTCAACCTAATAAGAAAATAAACATGTTAAACACAGTGATCCCTCACTATAACAAGGACCGCTTTTTGTGACTTCGCTGAGTTTGATATAGTACAATTTGACATAGTATCTTTGTAGCCTACTAGCGTTTATTATGTTCTACTGCTGAATGACTAGATGCAATTGTGAATCTCCTCCGTGTCGCGTATCCTGCGCTTGCCAAATTTAGCACGTCTGTTCATGAGAATGTTCTCGTCCAGACAAAAACAGCACAAACCCATATGTTCCTCACTTGAAAAAGGACTACGTGGAAAAAGATGTAGGCGAGCGGCGTGCGAATGAATAAAATGCAGCATAGTTATACTTGTATGCTTTAAAATCTACAAAGTTTTTAAATTTCAGAGTGTTTACATGAAAGAAATATGAGAAACATTTATTTTGCATAATTTTGTCTAAGAAACATGTTTAAAGTGTGCTGCGAGGTGTTTCACGGCCCTAAAACATACAATTATAAAAAAGATCTCTTTCTGGATTTCTCCTTCTGCGGATTGTTTAGTAGATTAACAAAAACTGATTAATCGTCAAAAATATTCGACAGGTTAATCGATTATGAAAATAATCGTTAGTTGAGGCCCTAATATGCACTCACATATGCAAAAAAATCAGATAGGCTTATTTAACATGCTGGTGGTGATAAAAAATCGAGTCCTAATCAACTGAAATTATATTATAGCTTTAAATTTTATATTCTGAAACACTGACCAAAGATTGCAAGTCAAATCAGCACTAACCTGGTTTAATTTGAGGGCTCCGTTTATGAAGCGTTGAGCTCGAAGGTTTTGAGCAATAGCATGCAGGTTAAGGATAGCTTGATGAATCTCATCAACAGTGTGCAAAGGGTCCACAGTAGGAAGCTCCTCAGCAGAGAAGATCTTCTCAGGGTCTTCGATCAAGCTCTGAGCCTGATCGTAGCTTAGCTTCACACAGGAGCAGATGACTGAGCGGCCAAACCACTCGTCCAAGATCTGATGAGTAGAAACAGGCAGATGAGTGGACAATAGAAAATAGGAAGTTTTACCAACAAATGGCAAAAATAACATCTACGCCCAAACACATTAGCCCACTGTACCCTTTCCCTATCCCTACAAATGTTTCATATCAGCAGTAAGATGCTGGTGCAGACATACCTTTCCATCAGGTGACATCTTCCAAATGACAGAGAAAGTGAGCCTGTCAGTGTGAGGATTGAGACTGCACAGCTCCTCACATAGAAGCCTTGGCAACATGGGAATCACCTCGAGAGAGACAAGTTACAGCAGCAAATAATAACTCAGCAAGTATAGCTGAGGGTTTTATGTAAGCAACAGTGGGATCACAGACAAACCAAAAAGGATTTGAAGTCTTATTTCCTGATATTGAACATCTTGCCTCCAATTGGCTAACAGCAACGCAACTCTACCACTGACTCTGTTTACTTTGCAACACGGACGCCTCATCTCCACAAGTAACACAAGCCTGGAGAAGTTTTGCAATGTGGTGGAGTTGCTAATGCTAACGATTAGTTTCTACTAGCTGAGTTTTTTCCAAAACTTTAAAAGACTATTTGCAGCTCTTGTGTGAACGAAGATATCGAGGCTCTATTGATCGAATCCAATTCAGCTGTTCTTGCTCAGAGTTCACCAACAGTAAGAGAGTTTGCTGAACTCCTCCCAGGTGACAAAAAGCACTCAGGCATGGCGCTGGGCCACGGCGGAGACTCCAGTGCCGCGGCTACGAAAACCCCCCGCTTTTCATGGACAGAAGCGACACGCTCCACCCCCCCCCCCCACCCCCCCCACCCCCACCTGCTGAAAATAATCTCTAGGGGAAACACTGACTCACCATGTGAACCAGATACACACTGGTTGCTCTTTGGCTGGCGATGGCATCGAGAGCATTGCCCTCCTCCACAAAATAACTCACATCAGCAATATGAACTCCCACCTCAAAGTTACCTGCATCAGACAAGGTTTCAACACACACTTTACCTTTCTTTGAAACATCTTTAACCCTCTGGAGTCGGTGGTATAATTAGCTGTTTTGACAAGTTTTAGTGGTCACCTTTATATTTCACTCTATATTTTATTGTTCATGCCTTGTTTGGCATCATTCTTTTCAGCACAACATCACCCATGTGTATTTAAGGTCATTTCTTCATTTTGTCATGATGTATTAGCACACTAAACCTGAAAGTAACCAAAAACTCTAAAACTGAGTAGAAAAAAATGATATATGTTGGGTATCTTTATAATTGCACCTTTTTGAGGCCTAAAAGATGCCCATTTTGTGTTATTAACACTTCATGAATCTCTGTTTTTGCCAACTGTTGCTGGTCATGAAAGGTTGAGCAAGGATGTTGATTGTGGGTTTCCAACTGAAAACTGTACCTCTGTAACCTGAGAAGGCCCGCCTTCTCCCCCATCCTTTTGCTGAAGAAAGCCCCCGGGAAACTGAGGAGACGGGGGAGTGACGGGGGAAAAGACTCGGAGGAGGTTTTTCCCTGCGTTAACTCTCCATTATTTTGGGGACTCAGGCTAAAATGTCTCCCTTATTGTCATGTGTGTTATTTCAGGTTCCAGGGTTATGGAGATTAAATATTACCCCACATGTAATTACTTAACATTTTGGTGGAGAATGCGGGCATGCAGAGCTGGTGACCTGAAGGCTTTCCCCAGGAACAGAGGGGGGCTGGTTAGCTCCATGGAGGGGTTTCTGCGCCCAGCTCTTGCATGACGATTCATGGACATTACAAATAATCTCTCTCTCTCTCTCTCTCTCTCTCTCTCTCTCTCTCTCTCTCTCTCTGTGTGTGTGTCGTCCTTTAAGGTAATATGGGATAAATCTAAAATTACCTATCAATATATTTATTGCTGTGAAAACCACAAACATTTGTTACAAACTATTTTCCGCACTCAGAATGAAACTCCAGAGGGTTAATGATGTATTTATAAACATCCAGCAAAAATAAATAGCAGTTGAGCTACGTGCTGATAAATAGAGGTTTACCATCTGGAAGCTGTTTACAGGACAGGGCATCGTCCAGGTCTCTGGCAGACGCAGGGTCAATTGTGAAAATACACTCCCTCCTAAACATCAGGCATGATTCTTTGTGAAATCGTCTGAAGAGATCTGTGTGGAAATCAAACTGAATGTGTTTGCGTTGATACAAACATGTCTTACCTGAGATCTCTCCTCTTTCTGATCTCCTCTGGTGGGATGCTCCATGGTAAGTTTGTAGGAAGACAGCCTAACACTTCATCAGAAAACTCAGAGAAGTCCACATCATACTCCATCAGGATGCCCTCAGTCTCTGGCTGAATCTCTCCAGCTTCGCCCAGTGACTTAGCAAGCTCACTGAGAGAAACATAGCATAACAGAGGAAAATGTACCACAGCAGTCCCGCCAAACGCGATTCATTCCTATGCTTTAAGTGTGATACCCACCCTAGTGCAAAGTTGCTGTCAGCTGGCCAGTCAATGATTCGACAGACAAACAAGACTTTGGCATAGCTACTCGGGTGCAAACTGAAGTCTGCAGGACAGTTGGTTAGGGGGATGTTAATCCGTGGCACCCGGTGATCCATAGGAGAAAATAGGGCAAAGGGCTTTTCTGGCAGGAACTTCAGGAAGCCGGTGACAGCTCGAGAGTGTTTCTTCTCAATAATATACACCACCTGGTATTCAAGCAGAAGGGAAAACTGTGACATCTGTTTCTTTTTCATTCATCAAAGTACAATAGCTAAAAATCAGACTGAACACAGAGTACAAACAAAACCAGGAAATCCTGATATCGCAGGATGTGATTTTTCACATTTCATACCCAGATTTCATTTCCTATGATTTACTATTGGTCATCTCCAGTGAAGATGCCCTCAGCCCAGGTCAGCTAGATCCTTTAGGGCATGCCTTGTGGCAGATTTATGTGGAACAGAATAAATAAGCCTGTATGAAAAACAAAATCACAGCTCACCTTAGCAGTCTTTTGTGTGATTTCTCCATTGGCTCGAGATGTTGAGGGGTCTTCTGAGAGTTCCCATATTTTCAGATGAAAGGAAAAATGTTACCAGGATTTCTGCATCAACTGTTTACTTTAATGAGACAAAACCTGGTAGACGATGTTATTGTATCAACTTGCTATGAAATGGTACCTGCATCACTGAGTGATATTTTCTGAAACCTGTTTACGACTTCATCAGTTGCACAGGAGTGGTGCACCACGTTCTTCTGCGCTGCCATTCGTTTATGGTCCTTCTGGATCTCTGACTCACTGACACCCTCAGTGTCAGTGTCAGACCTCACCTGCAGGGATTAAATCAGGGTAAACTCAAGCACTTTCATGGTGGTGCGATTATTTATCCTCAAAATTGTTGTTTCACCTATTTGCCTCAAAAGCAAATGCTATTGTAATCAGTTGTAGGGCT